AGATTTCAAGATTATTTATTTTGGCCCTAAGGAAATTTGTGTTTGTGAAGACGCCCAGACTTCCTTGAGTGGGAATCTCTGCTCAGCAACGGATAAAGTGGAAGAGAATGTATGCATGGACTTACAAGACACTTACCCAGAATGCAATGCAGTTATAAATTGTCTTCCCCAAGGTGTTTTGATCAGGAAAGACTCTCATGAAAAGCTGGAAATACGGTCTACAGCTTTGGCAGGAATTTTGAGAATCTGATTTACAGATAATGATTTTGCTTCAAGTTGATAATTGTACCCCAATAACTCACAGTCAGCATTTCAGATTCATGCAGCTACAGTCTCCCTCCGAAGATGTGAGAAAAGATTCTACTCCGCCAAAATGCAAATCTACTTCTTTTTAGTAGTGCGTAAAATTGTATCTGTTCTTGTTTTAACCTTATGTTTCATGGCTTATTTTATGTGTAGGAGTTTAATATTTCCATTCTTGGTTTGTATCGCACTTTGAATTTCTACGTATATGAATTCTGCTAAATAAATACACTTGCCGTTCCATGCCGAAGACTGAAAACCATTCTGAAAACAAAAAACAAAAGATGGGGGTAGCAAAGTAAAATGGAAACTGTTGATGACCCTCTAATCACAGTTGACATAATGGTGTGAGGTGATTCTTTTTAAGCTAATAGTTTTGTTACTGTCTGGCACAAACGTTTAAAATACATAAATAGATAGATACAAGTATACAGTGGAATCCAGCACAGTGACACAGTGTATTTTAAAAAAGTAGCCAAAATGTTTCTCATTGACCTTTACAAATGTGGGTCAGTGTGCTGCTGGCTGCATGTGAACTTGTTTTAGCTTGTCCTTTCAAAATAAGGGAGTATTTTAGTTTGTCCAGAAATATGGAAAAAACAGACTCCTGGAAACCATAATTCATTTTTTGTTATCATTGCCTGAGTTACTGCTACACTCCAACGAAGCACATCACGCACACACAGCAATTTCTGTTCCAATCAAATCTAATGGTGAATAAGCAGCCTTTAGCATCTAAGGTCACACTTTCTGCTCTTGGCTTTTACTCCCTATCAGAATTATGTTTGTTTACATTTCTTCCATTTCTATTCAATGACTGCAGCAGCTTACAAAACCCTTCAATATTCAAATATAACACAGACCCTATGTTAATCCCAGCATCAGCCAGAGGTCTATGTAAGGTATATGGGAGATCATACATACATATTTATACATACATGCACACACGTACACACAAACTGACATCTGTACTTGAAAGATACTGCAGCCTCACATACTAAACCTTTGTAAAGCGCTTTGTTACTCTGTGATAGAGGCTATATAAAATGACTTAATTACTTACCTTTAGCCTTGTTCTCGGGGACAATAAAGTACCTTGACCTAATCTCGGCTGAGAGTCCACTTTTCGCTTCCATCTAAATGATGTCATTTTGCCTGGTGTGACAAGATGGAAAAAATTACTTATGTGAGATTATCCTTCTTTATCGTAATTGCTTAGCTTCTATTATTGTCCTTCATTGCGTACATATTCTGAAGCAATGTGTTGTCCATCCAAGTGTGTCTCCGTGATGAAAATAACCGAAGTCCAATACAATGACATCTGGCAGTTGAGAAGAGCCTCTGTCTCAAGAAGATAGCAACACTTTAGGATCCCCCACCACCCAAAACACAAACCAAAAAATACTCAGAGTGTTAACAGCCAGAGGTGGATGCGCCTGAGAAGCAGCTTTACTCCGAGCTCCAATATGTGACTAAGCTCCTTATCCTGCCAATTATTTCACTTTTGGGTCTATAGGGGGATTTTCTTAAATTTTTAGGAAAGAACCAAGCTCTACATTCTTTGGTCTTATTGAGTATGTAACACCAGAATGATTGACAATTGGGAGAACCAATAGTCTTGATGATCCACTCGGAAGTAGAAAATCCTCCTATGTACAATGAAAATGAATCAAAAGGTCAGCTCCATCTAGTGGTCACCAACAGAGAGGACATGGCCGAAATGTACTGTATGTTGCTTTAATTACAACAAAAAGGACAAGTTGAAACAGAACCAGTTAGTCCAGTTAGACCAGTGAAGGATTAATAATTGGGTGTTGAAAGAGTCATATGTCTTGAAAGCAACACGCAGTCACGTTTACACAGGACATTTTGCAGGCAGATGGTATCGCCTGCTCTGCTCTTCTCATTTAATATTAATGAGAAGAATAAACCAAGGGGATAAGGCTGATTTAAGGCAGCCATGGAGGAGCCGCGTTCAAAATAAGCCATGATACAACCATCCTGAAAGATAAGTGGGGTTGAATTTTTTGCACCAGTGTATGATAAAAAAAAAACAAGAACTAACAATATTGCTTTCAGTTTGTTTACATTAATAAAACATATCACCAGAAATGAATGCCACAAAGTACAACGAAAAGGCTTCACATTTGACCCCAGTGTTCTGAGAAATCACATAAATTGGTACAAAGAGGTTTTCAAATGAGATGGACCCATGGATCTATTATAATAACGGATGGACCGAGGTTTGTATTCAGTGTCCAGTGCGTCATGCGGCGCCCTCTCGTGGCCGTGGTGAGAAGCGCCTCGGCTCGGTGACAGCTAAATCATAATGAAAAGTGCATGAGCGTAAATAGGGAGAGTGCTGCTGCTCACATGACACGCGGTGATCACATGTTTACAGCAACGTCCTGTCGTGAGAATGCACTGCTTTGGTTTGTCACATGGAATAAGGCCCAAAAATCAAACGCATGACATCCACCAAACGGAAAAATGTGAGGAAATACAGCAGATGTTTAAAGTCAACAGTCATTGGCATTATCGCAGTTATGGCTGCACATTGTAAGGGTTAAAGCTGGGGTACCTGACTTCCATCCTTCTTTTTTTCTTAATCAATAACACAACATAGTCTTGCAAAAGTAACACATTCTGAACAAATCAGACCACAACATGTCGTCTTCATATCATTAGAAAACAAGTCACCATTTGATACTTTGGGTTGAGAAATCATTGAGACAGAGTCGCTTCTTTAAAACCTGCATGCAATATAGGCAAAAAAACACGTAAAAAGTGGGGATTGCACCAATTTGTTTTGAGAGAAAGGAACAAGTTCAATACATTTTTATCACTGGGTTTTTGAGGTGTTCCTTGCCGATGCAGGAGGGACAGTCATGATCCATCATGTTTTTGATAAATTAACCTTTATGGACATTAAACATGGTCGCTATCGATAAGTGGCTCCTAAGGGTTTGTTATTATTGCATTTCCTACTGTTTGATTCTCTGTTGTTGGTGAATCGACAACTTTGTAAAGTCAACTGAGGTGACTGCTGTTGTCAGGCTATACACAAATAAGTTGAATTGAATTTTCAGTTTTTGCTGTTTGAAAGTTTGGTACCCGAGCTTTAATAGAAATGCATTAAGTTGTCCATTTTCCACAAACAACAATGACATGATAATTAACAAAACGTATTCATAAAAAATACCACAGCAATGTCACAAAGTGTAAAAAGAAGTGGTTTCAGACAAGATGTACTATGCACCATTTCTCAAAGAAGCTCCGCCCCTTGCTCGTCTTCACAGAGATATTGATGTGTCTGGAAAGTCTGGCTTTAGACTCGCTCTAAAAAGACATGAGTGAGTTTAGTAGAACTGTCTGAAGCGCATTTTACATCATTTAACTTAAGAATTTTGCTAAATATTTTTTTACATATTTAATCCCAGTTTGATATTATTTTCAGATATATAGATTTGAGTTATGGTTCACTGTATAGATGTTATGAAGCGCCCATTCAAAATCTGTTACAATTTAAATTATTAGGACATATGTTTATTTAGTTGAGTCAGTCGATTAGTTTTAGACATCTTCTCTATACAGGGCACTTCCTCTGGGCTAAATGTTCCCCATTTTCTCCCACAAAACGAGACTTTATATGTAGAAAAACTATCATAGCCGAGTGAGTCAGCACTGAGTGGCTCACAATGCTGAGATGAGTGTGCTTGAGATGTTTGTTGCCTCATGAGGGAACACTTAAGGCTGTGCTGAGGACGCTGTCGACTAAAGAAGTCCGAAAATGTAAAAATATTGACGCTACAAAAGCATCAGGTTCAGTGCCAGTTCATGATAAAGAGACACTGGTATGCATGTTTGTTTATTATTGTCTTGAGTGTGTGTCAGTTTTAAATTGGACTTAGTCTGTAATGAAGTTGATTGATTTAATTTAATATCTTAATCAGGAGCCAATCCTCTTAAATGAATCCCCTTAAATGAGTCTTAATGATAAGATAAAAGCCTGTCGAACATACTTTAATGTCAAGGCCTACAGTACAATAGAGAAAGCAAGTATACATAAGAGAACTCTGATTATGACGTCTCCCAAAGCGCTGGGAAAAGGAAAAATGAAGGTATATAGCAATCAAAGAGCTAATCAGGAGTGAGATTATTGAAACCACGCACTACTCTTGCTCTAATGTTATTTCTTATCTTTTTTTTTTAAAGGATTGGAAGCCTGTATCCAAATGTAAACACATTTTTTAACATAGCCAGACAGGTTTGGTACATGCCAGACTTCACTTGGTCCTCGATGGGTCCGTGTGGCTGCAGGATTTCTTTCCAATCAAGCAGGAGCACACCAGACTCCACCCATTACGTCTAGTTTAAACCTGAAGACTTGAGGAAATGGATGATTCTGGTGTAATAACATGGACACAAGCAGGTGGCGGAGCTTCTTGCGCTAAAGTTACATAACACAGGTCTAAATCCACAAACATAAAGTGCACCAATACTTCTTGGTCTTCAGAGGTAAAGTTTCTCCACAGTGGGAATCAAAGGCACATCCAAAATTGGACAAAAACATCTCCTTTTCCTTAACCCTAGAGAGCTGCGTCATTAGATCAACAGTAAGTCAGGAGCAGTGATCGGGACATCCTCAACTAATGTTTTTGTGTTTTCATAAAAGTCTCGAACACAGGTGTGTAAGCTCAGGCCACAGCTCTGAGGGGTCCATTGTCCGGCGCTGTACTGTCACTGTCCGACAGCAGCGGCGAATGACCCGGCACTGCAATCCTATAGGGCAAAGTGTCTTTCGTCATCATCTTTCTCGTGGCAGAAACTAACCGCGAGTAATTCTCAGGGTTGTATTCAGACAGAGGGGCGCGGGTCCGAAGCAGCGGTAGACTGTCCCGATCCGGGTGGGACAGGAACAGGGCCGGTCGACGCTGGCTCTCCCCGTCCTTCAGTGTGTCCGGGAGAGGCTTGCGTTTGGTTTCGGGCAGGAGCATGATGCACAGGACGGACAGGACGGCGAAGGAGGCAAAGATCACGTGGTGCAGAAAGTATCCGCCGTTGTTTTGGAGCTCCATCAAAGAAGAAGCCGCCATCCCCACACAGCCAGCGGCCAGCACCAGGCCCAGACACCCACCTCTGAGAAAGGACACACACAGAACGTTGGTAGTTTGGACATAGGGAAATGTTGTCTGAAAAAAAACCTTGATATTCTACATCCTAGTCCCCTCTTTACGGTCTTTTGGAGTGGACTGACAGAGTGCTGATGTCACCCGTAGTGATTATCTTATTGTGGAAGAAGCTGATTAGAGTCAACTCAAAAAGCTAATTGTCTAGGAATCTGGAGCCATATAACCGCAGTTGGTTTCATTGTGGCTAGCAACGACCAAGGAACAAAGCAACTAAGATAAAATCAGGAGCTGGTCTGCTATTCACCAGTTATGGCCAAATTGAGATGAGTGTTTGTTTATTTCGAGTTCAATGTACATTAAGCATCCCCTCCCTCTCCCTGTGCGCGTCTGCGGTCTGTGGGCGTCTGTCTTGTTCGCACCAGAACTTGGGCCCGCTTCCCGGACGCTGCCATTCGCCCGGAACCCTCCTGTTTGGCAAATAGGAGCTCTGGCCAAATCAATCTGCGCCACCAGCTGACCTGCATGCGGCCAATAAAACAGCGGTGGACGTCCGGACGGAGCGGCTTGTTTTCAGTATGAGTGCGCCGCTCTTGAGAGACAGATGTAATTTGGGAGAGCTGACCGTATTGAGACCTTATGAGACCTTATGTGACCTTACGGGACCTTTAAAAGAACTTATAGTAAAAAGGAAAGCATAAAAGGCCATTTACTTTGCCAATTACATCTGGTTGTTTATGCCTTTCCCCTTCTCAGAGCCAAGTTTAGGGTTGTAAAAATTATTAGCAGATGTCACAACAAAGACCTTTCTAACATTTCATTCATTGACAATTGTATATTCTATTGTACATTATTAAGAGGACATTATGTGGGAGGAAAGTGGGAGGAATTCAGGGACACAAGACACCCCGATAGGTCACAATCTAGATTTACAGACATTATCAAACTAAAACACCAGGATCACAGGATGAGCTAAAACATGATTTTTTTTATGCCCAAAATGGTGAGTGTGACACAGTTACAGAGGCAAAGTATGAATCAGGGCCACTGACATTACCAAGACAGGCTGCAGTAAAACTTTAGACACTGACCTGACAACAGTGGGCAGAACTTCACTGGCAAAAAAGGCGCTGAGCATTGCCAAAGCCTGAGAGAAGAGCAGTCCCACCACAGACAGCACCAGCACCAGGCCTCCGCGCAGATCTGGGAGAAAATCCAGGCACAAAGAATTTTAAGAGTTTGAAAAGATACTGCAGGTTTTACTCAATTTCTAGTATTTACATTATAATGCCCTGCTGTCAAATACACCCACTGAGCTTCACTGATCAGAAGGCTCTTTCTGGTCCCTTCAAAAAGGTCCCATTGACTTTTTTAATTCGGCATCCCAATCAAAAATAAACAAATAAGTAAATAAAGGGGTTCATGTCATGCTTATCACGTTGTTGTGGCAATGACAATAAAACTCGTGAAACTACGTGAAAAGTACTTGGGTCAAGTGCAATGCCGAAAGGAGAGTGAGGTTGCAATAGAACCTCACAACCCGCTATCGGTACAACACACATTATGGCTGGCGGTTCGGCAAAGGCGAGGGCCGTTCATCACGGCTTGCGGCTTTACTTTCGGTCATCGCAGTTATGGACCCGTATGTAAGTTGCTATGTTTTTCCTCTCTTTTGTATAGGACAAGCAACAACAACAAAATTCTTGAGTGTGTTTTGTGTGTAAGTAAACCAGGTGTCTCCAACCTTTTTCACCTACCTTCCCAGGACGATAAAGGCAGAGAGCTACTCAGCCCTGGGAAAACATTTTTGATATATTGGAGAGAACATATTTGTTACTAGTGCACAAAGTAAGTGCATTTACAACAATAAATAATGATAATTAATAATACAATCTGAAATATTACGTATATCATTTGATTTGTTCATTTCTAAATCCTTTGGCGAGCTACATGGAAGGGGGTGGGGAGCTACTAGCGGCTCCCGAGCTACAAGTTGGAGACTCCTGGAGTAAACAGTGTTGCATTGTAATGTCCCGTACATGGAGTGAGCGCCAGCAGCAGGAGCGAGGACAGTCCGGTGATGATGGCCGTCAGCAGCAGCATCCCTCTGCGCCCAAAGTGATTCACAGACAAACAGATGAAGACGCACGCCAGCGCCCCCGTCAGGACGCGGATGAAATACGTGAAGTAGAAGTTTGTGTTGAAGCTGTGGACATTCCGGGTGAAACAGTACTGGATTCCGGTGCCAATAAATCTGAAAGAAATGTGCATGGGGAAAAAATGAAAACCACAAAAAGGTACGTATCACCTAATCATACATGTATTTATATAATTATTTTAGACAATATAAAAAAGGGTGATGTCACAACAACTAATTTTACGATGAATTGCTTCAGTAAATTATTGCAACAAACAGTGATGTTGAAGATTTCATTAGAATAATCAGCAGAATTAGGAAATATTTTGTCATTTTTAAGCAGCTTAACAACAAATACTGCAAAATTCTGTCCAGTTTTGCAAAGAACATTTACAAAGAATAATTATTGAGGCTCAAAATAAATATTTTCTCCATCAGTCATTGAAAAACAGGCTGAGACCAGCATGGCGGCAGGCAGGTGCAGCAGGAACGGTGTGCTCATTGCCTTTTTTATCTATGTATTGTTTTTAACGCTATATGGCCCCCGTTACGAAAGTTGCGATAGGCAACATAAAGTGATTGGATTTAATCACCCGGTTGAAGAAGCTGCCCTTATCCACAACGGAGGAAGAAAGCATTTGGGTCACGGGAAAGTTGTTGCGGCTGCAACCTTTGTATTTCCTGGTCTGATGAACTCTTTCAAAAAACCACGAAAGAGACCAACAACGCGTGCATTAAACGGCGAAGCCCTGATAATAATCATATGTCTGTTATTATCGGGAGACATTCATCAATGCCTCGGCCCGGTGTTCAAAAGCAGTGACTTAAATATAACCGGCGATGGCAACGTCACGCTGCGCTTGGAGTCCAGTGAAAGCCCCGCACATGCAACAGGTATATTACACCTGGATATACCGATCCATGTGGCGCGGGAGTGTTCAATCGGCACTGGTATGCGGCTGGATGACAATGCCATGCATAGCAACACTGCGGAGAGCGGACACCCCGTCTCCGTGCGTAATCAGCCGGGCACCGGTATAGGGGTGCAGCAGGGAGCAGAGCGCAGGAGAACGCGCGCATCCAAACCAAGTAATTTCAGTAACAAACGAAGAGCACCTCAACAAACAAGCTCCCAGCAGAGGAGGTATGACTTGACACTTCTACACACCCTAAACCATGCGAAAGTCGTCTGGGACAATAGATCTAAGCCACGAGGCCTGCTGGGAGGCCATTTGAACATTAGGAGCATTGCCTCTAAAACGGAACAAGTGGAGAAACTCCTCACCAATTCGAATCTGGACTTTATCTGTCTGTCAGAGAGCTGGTTAACAAAGACCTCTCCACAGGCAGCCTATTACATTCCAGGCTATACAGTATACAGAAGGGATAGGACAACTGGAAAAGGAGGTGGACTATTGTTCTACATTAAAGACCATATACAAACCAATCAATTAAATGTACAAGTGAATGTGGATAAAGAAATTGAATATATTGCAATAAGTGTAACTCTGTCACCTCATATGTCATTTATATTAGTGGGTTTTTATAGGCCACCCTCAGCAGATGCACGTTTTTATGTATCATTTAAAGACATTTAAAAAAAAAAAAAAAGATAAATACACTTGGGAAAGAAGTTATTGTAATGGGGGATTTTAACGTAAACTGGACCGACACAACCAATAGGAAAAAATTAAAGGAGATAACAGATCTGTATAATTTCTCACAGCAAATAAATGGACCTACAAGGATAACAAAAACATCAAAAACACAAATTGATCTGATCTTCTCAAATATGCCGGGCAGAATAATCAAAAGTTTTAATTTCATAACTGGAATTTCAGATCACAATCTAGTTTTAATTGCACGGAAACTCAACAAAAGTAGATTTGCCTTTAGGATAAAAAATAAAGAGGTTATGAATCCCAAAAAAAGATTTACCCCATTTTGACTCAGAGTTGCAAAAAGTTGACTGGATTGCACTTGATTCTAAAGATGACATAAGCACATTCTGCATACATTTTTTAGAACTAATCAATAAGGTTAAAGAACATTTTATGAAAAAATGTAACTTAAAAAAGAAAGCAAATTTGCCCTGGCTGACCGGAGAGATATGGAATCTAATGCGAAGAAGAGACTATTTGTTGAAGAAAGCCCTCAAATCTGGCATTGATAATGATATGCGTTTATTTAAAGCTAGTCGTAATAAAGTGGTGAAGGTACTCCGGGCTGCAAAAGCTGACTTCTTTATTGATCTGATTGTACAAGCTAAAGGCAATAATCAGTTAGTCTGGAGGCATATAAATACAATTTCTTGTAAAGAAAAGCCCCATAAAAATTATGAAATAAAAGTAAATGATGAGTTAATTCATAATGAAACAGAGGTGGTCAGTATTTTTAATACGTATTTTAAATATTCTGTAAATGAATTGGCAGTAGTGTTTGGCAAAAGGGCAACTGAAATTATGACTGTAAATCCAAATAAACCAGTACTCTACCTTAATGAGGTTTCAGAGCAGGAAATTCAAAACATTTTACAAGGACTTAAAAATTCAAAGTCCCAGGATGTATATGGTTTAGATTCAAGTACAATCAAAAGAAATGCTACTGCCTTGGGCGTGCCAATCACACAACTCACGAATCGCTCTATTAAAGAAGCAGTCTTCCCCAACTGTCTTAAATTGGCAGTTATCACACCCATACACAAAGGAGGAGACTTGACCGAACGTTCTAACTATCGGCCCGTGAGCATCCTACCAGTGATATCAAAGGTTGTTGAGAAAGTGGTGGCTCAGCAACTGATGGATCATTTAAACTATGGTGAACACCCTCTAAATCCACTTCAATTTGGTTTCCGGAAAAATCATTCAACAGAAACAGCCCTGTGTTTTTTTGTTGAACAACTAAAAAGCATGTTGGATAAAGGAGGAGTGGTTGGAGCCATTTTTTTGGATCTAAAAAAAGCATTTGACACAGTTAACCATAGCATCCTTTTATCAAAACTATCACAACATAATATTTCAGAAAGTGCACTGCAATGGTTTAAATCATACTTGCAGGGGAGAAAACACTGCACAAGAGTTAAAAGCACTTTGTCTCCTTTTTTAGACAGCTCGGTCGGGGTGCCTCAAGGTTCCATTTTAGGACCCCTCTTATTCAGTGTTTATATAAATGACCTCCCAGCCCTATGCCCAGAGGTAAATATTCAGATGTACGCTGATGATGCTGTATTATATGTCCATAACAAAACCAGCCAAAAAGCTGCGTCTATTCTCCAATCTGCCATGGAGAAAATCTCAGATTGGATGGTAAAATCATGTCTGACACTAAATGTTAGAAAAACCGTCAGCATGTATTTTTCAGTAAGGAATACTCATCTCACTCCACCAGAAATAATTATTAATGGAGACAAATTGTTAATTGTGGATTCGATTAAATATTTAGGAGTTGAGCTTGACAGGACACTGTCTTTTAAGACGCACATTTCCAAAATGATCAAACTTTTAGTTTGTCTCAATTTAGGGGAATCCGTCACCAGATGAGTCCAGATGCGGCAAAGCTTTTTATGCATTCAATGATTTTTTCACAATTCACTTATTGTTGCACATCCTGGTCATTGGCTCCAGACTCAGCAAAGCAACCTCTTCTGAGTTTATACAAACAATCTCTAAAGATTTTAGATAAAAAATCGAGGTCACATCATCATTGCAAAATTGTTGAGAAATATAAATTATTTACATTTGAGAGTGTTATCCAGTTTGAAAATATCTGTCTTATATATAAAATTTTCCAAAATTTGGCACCCCCACCACTAAATACATTTGTGAAAAGGTGTGAGGAGGTGAGAACCAGATCCACCAGAGCCACATCCAGGGGAGACTGTTATGTGAACTTTAGGTCCTCCTCATTTGGTCAGAACTGTTTCTCTGTCAAAGCAGCAGTGGCCTGGAACTCACTACCTCTGTCTGTGCGGGAGAGTAGCTCACTAGGACAGTTTAAACTCAGTCTAAAAAACTGGCTCAAAGAGAATCAAGTCTGTAGTCATTAGTCAGATGTAAATAATTGTGTGATGTATATTTTGTATGTATTGAATTGTGTCTGTGTGATTTAGACGTGTTGTATTTTATCTGTATTTTAATTAGGCCATTCATTCTTTCTATTTATCAATTCTTTGCACACTGTAAACCTGCTGTCACGTTGCCTCTGCCTCAGGGACTACGGATGAAAATTAGCTTGTAGCTATATCCGGTCTGAACAATACATTTATTGTGCAATGTCCCTGTCAAATAAACAAATAATAATAATAATAATAATAATAAATATCGAGACAGGCCTCTTCATGTGAATCATTTTTTGAGAATTATGAGAAGCACCTAATCTAGAAAAATTACCCTAACCCTTACAAACTTAATTTACAAGAACTATGTCTATATAACTACAATATAATTTAAAAGAACCATGTATTAGCAAGTGCACTATTCTTACAATATTCCTAGCATCATTGCATCTCTCTTAATCCATGCTATCAGTGCATTCTTACTTCTGTTGCACATGATATTTTACAGTCATTTAAATGTATTTGTTTTTATCTTGTTCTGTAGTGACACTGTTTTGTGAGAGATATGATGTTGATAATGAACTTACAAAGTGAAACTGAGAATGAGGCAGTTTCTCCAGATGACGCGAGTGCGACGCAGCTCCAAAACCGTGTGGTAACCCGGGTGACAGTCCTCTCCAAATGCTGAGTCGATGTCTGTAAGAAAGTCACAAAGCACTATAAAGATGACGGTATTTTCAATTATGCATGGTCATAGTTTTCACTTCCCAAATTTAGAAACGGAAGCTCGAGGAGGAGGACAGAGATTCAAAAGTGGTTTCTTGGGGTGTGCATCGCCTTGTATCTGGCAACACCATATCATCTAGGTCACATACTAAACTAAAGGCGAATAATGCAATATTTTTGTACAACTTTGGGGAAAAAAAACAAAACACTAAGCTGTATCAATATGATTCAGTTTCTCCAGCGAGTGGGAGTGTATGTGAAAATAAAAATAAAAAATGAGCTGCGTGATTCATTATAGCACAATATATCAACAAAACAGTATTTTATTTAGAATCTAGAACAGTCTTCCTGATAATGTGAGACAAGCTTCTTCTCTGACAATGTTCAAATCCAGGTAAAAACAGTTATTTTTAGCTGTGCGTACAACTGAGGGATTTTATCGTCACTCATTTTAATGTCTTGTGATTATTTATGATGCTAATGCCTTGTGTGACTGTCTCCATCTTGTTTTGTTCCGCACTTTGAGTTGCCTTGTGTATGAAATGTTCTACACAAATAAACTTGCCTTGCCTTGCCTTGCCTATGTTCTAACACCTGTAGTCAGACACTGGTTTTAGTACACTGCAGAGCCCATGGGGTTGTGGGTATAGGCTGGTTACCGGTCAGGGCGGTTTGGCCGGGGTACAGCTCGTCGTGCAGAGTGCAGCCGTTCCTGGAGCTGAAGTCCTGGAGGCTTTTCTTGGCGGCTGAGACCTGCTGCGTGGCCAGGAGCCAGCGAGGAGACTCTGGGAAGACTGAGCCACAGCTGAGGAGGAACATGCAGTTATCATTCAGGATACACATGTTATATCACTCTGCCCTTGGAGGAGCACTGTGTGATGCAGAGATTTACATATTAACCATGAGAACCATTTTAGATAAGACACGACTCCAGGCGCAGAGCAGTGAGGTCCTGTCATGACGCACTGTACAAGATGATTAGATTATAGATCCAATTTAATTAAAGTACTACTACAGTCACACATCGCAGTATTAATACAACGTACAAAAGATTAAAACAAATCTACATAAAAGGTCTACATTTTTCACCATTTTTTTTGAATATTTGGAAGTATTATCATTTTTAAAATTTTCTTTATTATTCCTATTTATGACAATAGTTGAGAAAAAAATATTATTCACTCGGATGTCAGTCGAGCGCCTCAGTGTAGTATACATGTTGCTAATACTAGTAAGTACCTGAGAAGTTATGTAATGCTAAACTGTTAAATATTTGTTTATGACAAATGTTTTTTTGTGCTTTGTTCAGTGCAGACTTTGCCGTTGTTTACACTTGTACGTGCACTAGAGCAGACTGTTGAAAAACAATAGTAATGCTTTATAATGCTCGATTTTGACAGGTTTTATTGTTGAGAATGTTGTAATCAGAATCTGTTTTATTGCCATGTAAGTAACAGGAAGTCACAGACAAGGAAATTGCTTTGGCTCTCGGTGCAAACAGTCAAAAGTAGAGAATAGAGAGTATGAAGATCCATCCATCCATTTTCTTCCGCTTTATCCGTTGCCGGGTCGCGGGGGCAGCAGTCTAAGCAGAGACGCCCAGACTTCCCTATCCACACACACCTCCTCCAGCTCGTCCGGGGGGACCCCAAGGCGTTCCCAGGCCAGCTGAGAGACATAGTCTCTCCAGCGTGTCCTGGGTCTTCCCCGGGGCCTCCTCCCGGTGGGACGTGCCCGGAACACCTTCCCAGGAAGGCGTCCAGGAGGCATCCTGAACAGATGCCCGAGCCACCTCAACTGGTTCCTCTCGACGTGGAGAAGCAGCGGCTCTACTCCGAGCTCCTCCCGTGTGACCGAGCTCCTCACCCCATCTCTAAGGGAGCGCCCAGCCACTCTGCGGAGGAAGCTCATTTCGACCGCTTGTATCCGCGATCTCGTTCTTTCGGTCATTACCCAAAGCTCATGACCATAGGTGAGGGAGGGAACGAAGATTGACCGGTAAATCGAGAGCTTCGCCTTTTGGCTCAGCTCCCTCTTTACCACAACGGTCCGATACAGAGACCCCATCACTGCGCACGCTGCACCGATCCGCCTGTCAATCTCACGCTCCATCCTTCCCTCACTCGTGAACAAGACCCGAGAGACTTGAACTCCTCCACTTGAGGAAGGACCTCTCCACCCACCTGGAGAGGGCAAGGCACCTTTTTTCGGTCGAGCACCATGGCCTCGGATTTGGAGGTGCTGATTCTCATCCCAGCCGCTTCGCACTCGGCTGCAAACCGCCCCAGTGCATGCTGCAGGTCCTGGTTCGTTGGAGCCAGCAGGACGACATCATCCGCAAAAAGTAGAGATGAAATCCTGTGGTTCCCGAACCGGACCCCCTCCGGCCCCTGGCTGCGCCTAGAAATTCTGTCCATAAATACAGTGAACAGAACCGGTGACAAAGGGCAACCTTGGCGGAGGCCAACATGCACCGGGAACAGGTCTGACTTACTGCCGGCAATGCGAACACAGCTCTGACTCCGGTCATACAGGGACCGGACGGCCCTCAGCAGAGGACCCCCCAAAGGACACCCCGGGGAACACGGTCGAACGCTTTCTCCAAATCCACAAAGCACATGTGGACAGGTTGGGCAAACTCCCATGAACCCTCGAGTATCCGATGGAGAGTATAGAGCTGGTCCAGTGTTCCGCGACCGGGACGAAAACCACACTGCTCCTCCTGAATCAGAGATTCGACCATCGGACGTAGCCTCCTCTCCAGTACCTTGGAGTAGACCTTACCGGGGAGGCTGAGGGGTGTGATCCCACGATAATTGGAACACACCCTCCGGTCCCCCTTCTTGTAGAGAGGGACCACCACCCCGGTCTGCCACTCCATTGGCACCGCCCCCGATCGCCACGCAATGCTGCAGAGACGTGTCAGCCAAGACAGTCCTACAAGATCCAGAGACTTCACATAGTCAGGACGGATCTCATCCACTCCCGGCGCCTTGCCACCATGGAGGCTGCCAACCACCTTGGTGACCTCGGCCAGGGAGATGGAAGTATCCGCCCCAACATCCTCAGCCTCTGCCTCCTGGACGGAGGACGTGACGGGGGGATTGAGGAGAACCTCAAAGTATTCCTTCCACCGCCCGACAATATCCCCAGTCGAGGTCAGCAGCCCTCCACCCACACCATACACGGTGTTGGCAAAGAACTGCTTCCCCCTCCTGAGGCGCCGGACGGTTTGCCAGAACCTCTTCAAGGCCGACCGATAGTCATGCTCCATGGACTCTCCGAACTCCTCCCAGTCCCGGGTTTTTGCCTCTGCAACAGCCCGGGCCGCGGCACGTTTGGCCTGCCGGTACTGGACAGCTGCCTCAGGAGTCCCACGAACCATCATTGCTCAATAGGACTCCTTCAGCCTGACGGCATCCCTTACTGCCGGTGTCCACCACCGGGTTCGGGGATTGCCGCCGGGACCAGCACCAGAAACCTTGCAACCACAGCTACGAGCCGCCGCATTGGCAATAGAGGAAGAGAACATGGTCCACTCGGACTCGATGTCCCCCTCCTCTGCCGGGACCTGGGAGAAGCTCTCCCGGAGGTGTGAGTTGAAAGTCCGTCTGACAGGGGGCTCAGCAAGACGTTCCCAGCAAACCCTCACTACACGCTTGGGACTGCCAGGTCTGACCGGCCTCCTGCCCTGCCAGCGGATCCAACTCACGACCAGGTGATGATCGGTTGACAGCTCCGCCCCTCTCTTTACTCGAGTGTCCGAGACACGCGGTCGAAGGTCAGATGATACGACAACAAAGTCGATCATCGACCTCCGGCCTAGGGTGTCCTGGTGCCACGTGCACTGATGGACACCCTTGTGCTCGAACATGGTGTTCGTGATGGACAGGCCGTGACTGGCACAGAAGTCCAACAACTGAACACCGCTCGGGTTCAGATCAGGGGGGCCGTTCTTCCCGATCACCCCTCTCCAAGTGTCACTGGCATTTCCCACATGGGCGTTGAAGTCCCCCAGGAGAATAACGGAGTCCCCGGGCGGTGCACTGTCCAGTACCCCTCCCAAGGACTCCAAGAAGGCCGGGTACTCTGCACTACCGTTAGGCCCGTAGGCCGTCACAACAGTGAGAGACTTGTCCCCCACGGCTGAGATGGGGGGCAATGAGTATGGCCACCCCAGCTTGCCGCCTCTCCCCGCGGGAAACACCAGAAAAGTGGAGCGTCCAACCCCTCTCAAGGAGTTGGGTTCCAGAGCCCAAGCTGTGTGTGGAGGTGAGGCCGACTATCTCTAGTCGGTATCGCTCAACCTCCCCCACAAGCTCGGGCTCCTTCCCCCCCAGTGAGGTGACGTTCCACGTCCCAAGAGCCAGATGTTGGGTGTGTGGACTGGGTCGTCGAGGTCTCCGCCTTCGACTGCTACCCAGTCCTCGCTGCACCTCGCCACCACGGACCCCTCTGCAGGTGGTGGGCCCACAGGAGGGACTGCCCACGTCATCCCTTCGGGCTGAGCCCGGCCGGGCCCCGTGGGCTAAGGCCCGGCCACCAGGCCTGGCTCCAGGGTGGGGCCCCGGCTGCGCCATGCCGGGCGACGTCACGGTTTTCATTGTTGTGCTGTCCATGGTTGGCTTCGGACTGCGCTTCGTCTGACTCGTCACTTGAGACCTGTCTGCCATGGGAGACCCTACCAGGGGCATGAAGCCCCAGACAGCATAGCTCCAGGATCATCCGAGTGCTCAAACTCCCCCACCACGTTAAGGTGGCAGTCCAAGGGGGAGCCCAAGTATGAAGATTACATTTATTATTGCGATGAACTGGATGGAACATAAATTGATAAAGTACTGCTGATATTTTTGTTTTGTTTGCACCAACAAGATAAAAATGATGATGGCAAAAATCAGGAATGTCATGTGAAAATTTAAATATTTTTGCAGCCGCTTAAATCAATTTATTGATAATGGGGAAGGCACATAAGCTATTTGCTTCTGCCTTCTCCTTTTGAGCCTTTTTTTGTCTTTCTTGAATTATTTGTGCATGTTATTGTGTATTGTAAAACTGCTAAAATAAAACTACTTCTACTACTACACTAGTATGACTTGATTCATGCTTAAAGAGCTTATTCAGATATTAACAGAATTCACATTTGTCTGTTTCTGTAGTTGAACTGTGAAGGCATCAATTGAGGCTCCATCTCGATACATTGGCTTTCAATATCTCTCCCTTCAAACCACGGCTAATTACGATACGGGGCAATTGAGTTGGACTGTTATTCATTTAGAAAGAAGCTACAGAAGGACTTTTCATGAGGAAAAGTTTAAAACAAAACAAAAAACTAACACAGACACACTTTAGCACTTTTCTGGTGGGTACAATATTTTCTACCACTACCACCCCTACTACTGGTCCAGAACAACAACACAGAAAAATGCTGTGTTGGTCCACAAAATTGATGAAATGTAAAAGTAAATATTGTCTCCTTGCTGAGAGCGTAAACAGCTTTCTCACTCACCACCAGTACCCCAGCAGCAGGATCAGCGGCAGCGTGGTCACAGCCTGGAGGATCGGCCAATCACGGCACAGCGCCGCTACGCCCGGCAACAGCAGCTCTGCCAACACGCCGAAGAGGCTGCTCACCATCGCCACCATGAGGCGATGGCCGGGATCACACAGCTCCAGCCCTGAAGAGAAAAGGCCTCGCATCAGCATCCCACCAAAGCCAATCCATTTTCTGTCAGTAAACAAATCAACCTACTGCTGCTTCCCCGAGAGTGTGAGAATTACTGATGAAAGCATTCTCAATTGATCCATGAACAAAGACTACACCCAACTGTTTTGAGCTCTGCGTGCGACAGATTAATCCTAGTCTTTGGGAATAGTAATACGAAAGGGAAAAATAAGTGATTGAAGCAAACTCCATACATAATGTCTCTGAAGTTGTTGAAGAGTGCATGTCATTTCTATAGAGAAAGTGTGACGACAACATACATTACATTCCATATCCGTCAAGGTGCTTATGCAATAGAATTCATTTCCTCCAGTCGACCCAGGGTTCAACTTATCCGTAGTAAATAGTTTGAAATGCAGCAGCCTTAAAGGGATCAAATCATGTCTGGATGATTTAGTGCAATTTATGAGATATTCCTTCTAACCTTGATCTCTCGCATCAAGGTTCATCTTTGTCTGCAAATCTACAACAAGCAAATATTCACAAGTGCTGTTATGAGTGGAAAAAAAACTCATGCAATTTGTTTAACGCACAAAGGTTAAAACTGCTGCAAAGAAAGGCATAGCAAAACAATCTAATTTGATTGTCTATTGATGGTATACAAACTTTTTTTTAGAACAAGAAACAAGGTGGTGAAATGCAATTGCTTTAGAGTGACTGTCCCAAACTTATATCTGGAAACCTAAAGCAAAACTTTCAAAGTTTTTTTTGTTTTTTTTGTCTTTTGTCTATGCATGGCAAGTGGGTTTTTGTCATTGTGTTATGTTATGTATTGTATGTTTTGTATGTACATATTGTGAGTGTATGTTTGGTGACTGAACGGTTTTTTTATTTTAATTTTTTTATTTCAGACCATACAAAGGGTGACTGCTGCAAACAAGATTTGCAAATTAAAGAAAATTCTGACATGGTATGTGTCGAAAATGAGACAAGATGCGGATCGGTCTGGGATCGTGCCACAGACAGAAGACATTTCATTGATCTAACAAAGACGACACGAACAGAGTTTCACAGCTTGAAATGCATGAGTGGAGTCAGGGGCTGTCCAGATTGTCCAAAGTGCGCTAATCCAGGCACATGGTTTCTTGATTTTCAGTTGTCTTAAAAAAAAAAAATCCTAATACTTATGTACTGTTAATGTTAGCTCTTCAGACATTACCCGCATCGTCATCAAAAATGAGACAAGATGCAGATGGGCCTGGGATCGTGTCTCAGACAGAAGACATTTTATAGACGTTAAAAAGAGTTTTACAGCTTGCATGTGATTTTAAAACATGGAGAAATTGTAGACGCTCCAATCAGCACCTGCCACCGTGCTAGTAGCTTCAGTCTTCAGATAACTGAAACATCCAGTGGAAATTCATTGGCCATCAACTTTAACCACAGTTTGCTTAAAAATATCCATAAGAGAATTTTTTTCTTTTTTGCTGGAGTAAAGACAATTTCCATTCGCTCCACACCGAAATGGCAAAAGAAAGACGCAGAAAACACCAGAAGCCTCATTACCTTCCATTAACTAATTGAAAATGATCCATACTGTACACAACTGTATAAGGGTAACTTGGTCTTGTGTTTTTCTCCACCACTGAAACCTACTCAAAACTAGCTTCAGATTCAAGACAAGTTATGGTGTTGATGAGTTCTCTACTAATCCCGAAGGAAATTAGGATTTGTTTGCATCCTCAGCTTTAGTTAAAAATAAATATCCAACATAGAAACACAGGAGATATAATGTCCAAACTGTGAGCAAAACCTACAGTAATAATAATACATTTTCATTTATAACGCACCTTACATAGGCAGACACATCTCAAGGTGCTACAGCATGTTAAAAACACAGCATTTGTTGCGATCCCCACCTCCCCCGAGAGTTGTGCACGGGGGACAAAAAGACTGTACTCTCTCAGTGGAGCATCGCTGGGACAACAGCTGCTGAATATGATCTCTGTACCATCCATGAACCCCCTCCTTTTCATCTCACACTATCCACAGATTTAACTAAGACAGAAAAGCCTTTACGTTTGCTGATATTGTCATCTAACCACTACTTTGTCCATTCGATTTTTTTCAACATCCTGTAGAGGGTCAGTCCACAAGGTCCTTCCAAGATCTCATTTCCTGCTTACTTCCTGTTTCCCAATTGTTCCCCTTCACTATTTGAGGCACAGAACATCACCAACAATGTTTTTGCTCCCTCATGAAGCAGCCTAAATGCAGATACAGAAAACAAGGCTATAGTATAAAGTCTCATATTAGAACCCCTAACTCTTATCTGCACATGCGGCAGGGGAAGTGTCAGTATCGTCAGTGTCAGAGGTCAGCAAACCTCAAACTGTCCGTAGCAACATGCAGGCGCTACTGGCATGTGAAAGCCTGATCTTGTAAGACCACAGGAGTTAAGCAGGGCAGGGCCTGGTTAGTACTGTGATGACAGACCTAAAGGTGCCAGGTGCCACAGTGGGCGGCTGTGGCTGTCAAGTGCAAAACTGTTGTTGTGTGGGTGAAGTGTCTTTCCTAAAACTGTGTGTGCGAATGATTGGTGGTTGTGGGAAGTGGCCAATGGTACAGCAGTATTGTGTAGACTGAACAAATAATGCTTTATGAAACATGGCTGTCATGATGAAATATACGTACTGTATATAAAATGTGCTATAGATATGTATAATAGAATGCATTATCATTGATTAACATATCAGAAGTTTCTAATAATTAGTTTCGTGATCCATTTCCAGGATTCCTGAACATAAAATCCTGCCATGCCCTTCTGAGTTATGCTACAGACAGACAAACAAAGTGAAAACATGATATTCCAAAGTACATTTTCCCGAAAAAACTTTGCAATGGTGATTATATTTTAGCGCAAATGTAATGAGTTTAATTTATTGTCAGTTGAATTCTGTTCAGCACATTCCAATTAGAAAAACAACTTAAACAGCATTTTCAATTTTGAGATAGTCACTTTGTTATAAATTGTGGAAAATGTACTGTGATTCATAAAAACTCCCATTATGATACTGGCTGTTGTAATAACTCAGACTCAAAACAATCCATAAAATTAATTTGCTTCCCTCACTGAAGAATAACATACAACATTTCGGCTGTGATAAAAGACTTAATCCATTCTAGTATTATGTTAATTGACCAAATGTCACTTAATAGATCTTTTGAGGAATCTAACTATTTCAACCAGCACCACTCCCTCTGCCCTGACAACTGCAGGAGGTTCACAAACTCAATCTGGAGCTGATCTAGTCCTAACCTCGCAGGAATGTGGGAGCAACTGAGAAACCCCCTTCACCGAGCAACACAACATCTCCGCGCCGCGCTGAGATGTCTCCACACAAACGTCACACACGCAGATGTAAAGTGAGAGGTTAAAGTAACAGGAGACAAAAGTTCAGCTGCTTCAACTGTCAGGTCGTTCATCAAGAGATTAAACTCATACTTGTAAGTCCTGGTTCAAAATGTGAACTTGATAAAGTATACAGGATATCAAAGGCATATCAGGTTGCCTTCTCCGACAGTAAGGAAAGGTAAGGGTAGAACATGCAAACTTCATACAGAAGTTGTTGTGCTTCATTGAGCTAGAGGGTTAGCAAGTGCAGAGTATTTACAGTTTGCATTATGAAGTTACTTTTGAAAGGTCGATTATACAACAACATGTTTAAAGGTGGAGTAAGCGATTTTTTAGCTTAGCCGTAGCACCAACTCGAAACCACTCCCCCCTCCCCCCTCCTCTCCAGCATTTTATTTTCTTTGTCATATCAGGGGAGAGTGGATGGAAAACGTGAAATTGGCATTTTCTGTTCAGCCCTTTTAGAACCCTTATAAAATCCGATAACTCAGGTGCGTGCACCATAGACTGCACTTCTTTAAATACAGTTTTTTAACCAGCTAAAAAAATGTTTTTGCTACATTGATAAGATAAGAACCTTTAATCATCCCTCAAGAGGGATATTTTGAGTTAAACGTTTTTTTCCTCCTTTTTCTGCTGCTCACATAAACAAACTGAGAGGCAGGAATATATCCTAAAGATCTTAAGTCCTAAATAAATGTTCCTTGCCCAACTATATATATCTAAATTACATCTAATACTGCTTCTTTTTATACTAGAGTTAGAGATTATGTTTTAATTTAGTGCAGCGTGTGTGCTCCTCATTCCTAATCACAACAGTACATGAAGTGAATCGTAAATCAGTAAATCGTCTTGATCGTGGACAGTCCGTGTAAAGGACCCTAAGGCGACGCTAATGTTGGAGTGTGATAGAATTTGATGACTAAACATTATGTAAAATCAGCTTAAAAATATAATGTTTGTAAAGAGTTTTGACTTTCATAGAGGGAATCAGAGTTGGAGTAGAGTAGAAGTTGAAAATTAGCATTAGCTATACACTCTGTGTGTGTGGCACCAGTTGCATCTTTCATGTTGTAACCATGTACGGCTACATTGTCCCTGTCAAATAAAAAAAGAATCAAATACAAATTCAGTCATTAAGATACAGTATATCCAGCCCATTTGAAATGCCAACATTGATCTGATTCAGTCTTGCCCTCTGCACCTCAGTAAGCTGGGTATTTTAGTAATAAAATACTAAAATAACCTGAATCTGGTTTCCACAAAACAAAACATCTAAACAAATAAAACCGGCTGATGCGTCAGGCTAGGTTTAAGGAGCACTTGTGATAAAAAGCACTTGTTATGCGACGGTTCACTCACTGCTGATGTAAGAGGAGACGTAGACCCCCGCGAGCGTGCTGCCCTGGGCCAGCCGCAGCAGCAGGAAGACCACTGCACTGTTGGACAGACACACGGTCACCCCCAAAACACTGGACACGCTCACAGACAGCAGGAAGGTCCTCCGGCGACCGAGCCTGAAAAACAAAACGCCGATACCTTCTTTTAACTGAAGAATTGAACAAATATTTACTTTCATTAACATGTTACACAGAACATAGGTAGAAGTAAAGTTTGACAATGACAAGACTGCAAAATTACTATTGATTGTGAAAAAATGTATTTACTTTGCATTCAATAAATAAATACAATAATAATACATTTAAAAAGTGGACCAAAAAATACAGTTCTAGCAAATGTGTAGTTTGAGGTTAAAATAGTTATTTTCTACATAGTTGCTGTGTGTGAGGTGATGTCAGGATGGGCTTACTGAGCAAGTTGCTGCACCCCAATCCTTTTCTTGGTTGTAATACAGTCAATGAATGTACTATGTGTTATTTACCAAACATTTGACCAAAAATAAATGCATTGATTCATAAATTTTGAATGAGATTTGCAGTTATGGCTGATTTTGGGATGTGTGTCTTGGGACGCCAACATTCACAATGCACATTCTCAACATGCTTCTGAGCGGACGAGAACACATTTAAAACATCAGCAAGTGCACTTATTGTGAGGGAGTTTAAATAAAAAAGAAGAACACATTCGGTAGGAGTACGTATAGTTTTGACTTTCCTTTTTTGAGACACAGCAGGTGATTTTCCAAGTCCAAAAGGAGATGACCAAAGTATCTATCGCTTTGTTTGTTTTCATATTGTAGCCACTGCGATCCTATGACAAACAGATCCTGTATCTTCATGACTCAGTGCTTCGCTGAGGGGAGCACACCGACCCGTAATTTAATCAAAAGCGGCTACATAGCGACGCACATACATTGGCCAGATGTATACATGCACTAAAATACTAACAGAAAGATTCAACAAACGAAATAAGCCAACCCAGATCTCCTCGACGTCTCATCTGACCGCCAGCGTCCGCCATATTTAAAAGTACCGCCTACCATAGCAACCCAAACATTTTGGCTCCACATATATTATATTATGGAGGTATTTTGATATACTAACCCAAAGTTTGGAATAAAACTGGATCAAAGTATTGTTATATAAAATGAGTCGCTTTCTATAGAAATCTTGCTTTAAAATTGGGTACAACATTCCATATAGGCGCATAACCTCTTACCACTACTGCTTGTAATTCAACAGAATGAATTGAGAATCTCCCTATAACAAAGTTTGATAGATAAGATAATTCAGAATTTAATTTCAACATGAATTTCCCCTCATGAATTAATAAATGTCAATAACATTCAATTTGTCAATATAATATAATATATGGAGCAATGGCTACTAATGTGTACGTTAATCTTGCATTTCCTGTGTTTGAACTGTTTCAATCTCTCGTCTGTGTCGGCAAATTGAACTAACTAAAGTCCTCTGAGGTGACTGCTGCTGGGATTCAGGGCTTTACAAAATAAATTGAATTATTGTTATTATTGAATGATCAACATTGGACTTTAGGACTTATTCTGCCCTTTTTACATCTTGAAATTTACCAGTCACACAGGGTTCCAAGGACGATATATCCCAGGATCCATCCCATCATGAAGCAGATGTGCTGCAATGGGATTTTCCAGTAGTCGCCACAGACCAAGTCCCACTGTGAAAACATGAGAAAAACTATGAGACATTTTTATTTTAACAATACAGCAACGATCAATTACGAGACAATGGCAGTGATGATCATTTACCTCCAAACTTGTTTATTTTTCACATATACTCTTACATACTTTATATCCCATATGTTTTTTGTGCGTGCATGACACACAGTAGCAAACATTGGAGCCAACGAGGAGGAATGTCTGTGTAACCGAGTTAAGATGCCTGCTGAATCCTTATTACGTTAGACTCAAAGTAGAACCAGCCTCAAACTCCTCCTTACACAACACTCTCCTCATTCATGCGCTGGACTCAGTAAATCTCCAATTTTACAGTGAAAAGAAGTTTCAGGTCGGAGTGCATCTGCTCGTGTTGGAGAATATGGAGAAGTGGCACCAACCGTTATCTCACAAATGTGTTTTTGTGCAGCTGCTGCCTGCCGGGTCAGGGCCCATGGAAAGAACAGGGCGAACAATAGAATCTCGATGGAGCCGTTTGTTAAAGTTGCAAATGAGTCGACTTCTTTTGTCTCAATCATTGTCCACAGTGGAAAATGACGATGAAGGAAAAGGGAAATGACATCTGAAGAGTTTGTTAAAGGCAAAAAGAGACATGGGAATAATGTGAAGAGCCCATAAAAAACAAGCAAGATATAAAATTGACACGTCGTAAATGATGACGGCCCACCCTCCTACTTTAAAAGAACGAATATGACCTTATACTTGATCTGTATCTGTTTCGAGGGTGGACCAATTCAATACTTGGTCAGGACTAAACATAGGGAGGCTGCATTTCAGATTCAGGCATCTAAAATCTGGAAGAGTCTCCCCAAAAATGTAAGACAGTCTTCTTCTCTGACAATTTTTTAAAACCAGGTTGAAAATAGTTCTGTTTAGCTGTGCATACAATCAAGCGATTTTATATTTACCCTTTTTTAATGTACTGTGATTATTTATGGTTTTAATGCCTTGTGTCACTGTTTCTATCTATCTCTGTTCAGAACTTTGAATTGCCATGTTTATGAATTGTGCTATATAATTAAACTTGCCTTGGATTGAATTGGGTATGGGTTGACATCAGTCGAGGCGATATCCTTCTGAGCTGATACCAACACAGACAATTATAGTTTTCCGATTTTACTACAGTGGGAGTCATTTACATTTAGATTCCACACGTTCTGAAAACTTACATATTCACTTTTTACATCTTATCTAAAAGGCGAGAGTAAATGACTTCCACTGTGACTAAGCCCTGTCGACTGCAAAAATTTCTCTTTCTGAGATCTGTTATGTAAATGAATAATCATAATTGGAATGTTTTCATAATGTAACCTGTAATTTATTTAGTTTTGCTTTTCAGTGGTGGCGATTCTCAAAGTCCATGTCTGTGTTACATTCAGTAGGTCTTAGGGATTCATCACAATCAAAAATTAATCACTGAACTTTTCATGGTCGCAAATTGTAGACAGCAATTAGTTAAGTTCTTGGTAAAAATAAAGAAAATAATAAAAAAAAAAACACTCTTTAGTCAATGGAACAATCTATATAAACTGTGATTTGATACACAACTCCTTTAGTGAGAAAAGATACATTTACAGTTGAATTAAAAGTAGATTCAAACATTTTAGCAGTGAAAAATGGTTGTACTATATTTCAAACTCTTATTCTACAAATGTTTATTTTTTTTTATCTGACCTGTCTGGAAATTGCTCCATTTGCACGCTCTCTTGAAATTAGACAAAATTACACTTTTAAAAACAAACACGATATCTAAAATCAGATTCAAACTCTTTTCATTTTCCATTTGCAGGAATGAAACAACCCCCCAAAAAAGTGTAGGAAACAATTGACTCTGAATTCCTCATCACAAAGGCAATGTTGTTCAGAAATGACAAAATGTTTCCCAAAATTGTGCAGCCCTAACATGATCACTTGTTATCGCAGCCCTGTATTATTAATTAACTTATTTTGTGTTGTGTGCTCCTCATTCCTACTGTTCTTTCACTTATGATCCATTGTCCACACACAACATGATCAGAGAGGAGAGTGGGAAAAGTCTGAATAACAGACGGTAAAACAGCCCAGCCCTATAGTTTGAATGTCTCCATCTACAATATAGTGAGATATAGTCCTGGTCCTTCACCGGCTTCATGACCTAATCTTCGGCCTTTCCTGCATCAGTTCCATCTGTGTAAACCGCAGATGTCGGCCATGTTTTTCTCAGGAGCTCGTTCCCTCCCATGATGCATCTGACTGAGGAAACCACTGAAGGCCGGAGCAGGAAGGAACCGGACACAACCCCGTCCTACAAACGCTTACACTGAGACAAAAGACATTGGTCTGTGAAGGCTCCAACTGTCCCAAATCATAACATCAACATAAAAGTATCGTGCAGGTTGTAGGTTCTAAAATGTTTCTGTATCCAGTGGCTGTGTTTGCGCCACAATTTCACTTTTTTATGTAAAGACAGATTATTTTAGATCACTCCAAAAACATACAGTTCAAGTCCAGCGTTCTGCCTGCTGTGGTGACACATGATCCAAGAACTGTCTTTGCCCAAGGGAGAATCTCACCTGATCATGAACAAATATTGACAGAACTGAACATTCTCACGGTTCAAAGAGACGCAAAACATCTTCAAACTGTTTAAGCAACGAACGATGTGTAGTCAACTAAACTCAACTCTGTGCTACACGTTCAGGTGATATCATTTATACGATCTATGGATGATACAAGGGCTTGTTGTGGAGGTGGTACGCAGATGCCAACAAAAAGTTATTTCATTTTTATACAAATCCAGACCTACAGACCAATTCAAGAGCTGGTTGAATCCTGATTACATACAACAGGTCTGGGCGGTACCATGTGTCAAATTGTGTTTCCCGGCGGACAGTTTGATCCAACTAAGATCGAGTTAAGGCATAGCTTCCCAAACTCGGCAGCAAATATGTAGGTCATTCAACTGCAACATGGGTGGCTTTTTATCATCCTAGGCTCAGTATTCACACAATTACATGCAAACACAGGCGTAAAGGAAATGTTAACCCGTCACGTGTCAGAATCTGTTCTGATCAACAATAAATTTATAAAAAGTTAATTCTGCTAAATGTAGGCAACCGTTTTTTTGGATGTTGCAATTTAAAATGTGTCCTGTCGCAATTCTGCTTCTTTGACACATAAGGTTTACTTTTGATTTGTAAAAGGTAAACAAATGAAATAAAATAAACAACATGGATATTTTACAAAAAACATTTATAAAGTGCCAAGACTTAGTCCATTGACAAGCATGAGGTGGTAGTACACTAGTCTAGTCTATTTATGATTTGAACCTAAATATTGTGAGTGTGCTCAGTATGAGAGTGAAGTCTAATATTTCATTTAGTTAAATTAAAGAAAGTAATGTTTATTTATATAGCACATTATACAGACCAAGGTCACCCAAAGCACTTCACAATTTTCAGAGTTCAGATATTGTTCCACACACGGTGATGACAGAAGCGAGTCGCCGAACACACTGGCGCATCAGCCCCCAATCAACACCATCCATTCATTCTCTCATTTACATTCATACTATTGTGCATGTTTTTAGTAGTCGGGGAAACCGGAGCACCCGGAGGAAACCTATGCAGACACGGGGAGAACATGCAAACTCCACTCAGAAAGGCCCCGTTCCGACCGGGATTCGAACCCAGGACCTTCTTACTGAGAGGCACCACTCAGCCACCGTGCCGCCCATTAAAGTAAAATAGCACCAGAAAAGCTCACTGCATGAAGCTTATGGAATAATATGTTTAAATAGGAATACACACTATTAGCACACTATTTTGGAACTGTTCGCATGGCTGGGGAAAATAGGTCAGAAAGGTTTCAAAACTATGTACTACTTTTTATCAAACATGTTTAAAATGCTTAACAATAGCAGTCCCATATGTGTGAAACTGGAACTCCCAGAGCCATCATTCTGACTGCTCCTAATCAAACCAATGGAATTTAGAGAAATACACAAGGTTTTTAATAATGGTAAAACTAGTTACAGCAACTTGAAATATACCAACAGTTTATTTTTATTTTATTAGTTTAGTTGACAGGGACATTGTGCATTAATAAAACATTTCTGTAAATGCACCAGAATTAGCCAAGCAGGCTATTTTTCATCTGCAGTCCCTGGACAGGTGTACATAGTCTCCCTAAAGATTAAAGTCATACAATAATAAAATACAGAAAACACAGTTTGGAGAAATGTTAACTTCTGCAGGTAAACAGTGTGTTTCTATGGTAACTAGCCCTTTATCTTCTCTAGTGGGAATCCAAACTCAGCTCAGAACCAGGGGCTTTCACTGCCATAGAAAGAAAGCAACCAATTTTGTTTTAATTTCTACTTCAAATTGATTGGCGTTAAAAAGGTAGAATTCCTCCAATTTCAAAAAGAAAAGATGATTGTTATGTATTTTATGTTGGTGTCATTATTTTCATATCAGATACAGAAGATACAGAAGAAGCCACAAAGTTCAGAAGACCAAAAATGTATAGCCAGAGTAATTGCACCCAAAAATAAAAGGGTCCATACAAAAATATATATATATATATGTATATAAAACTGACAACAACAAAGGAGACAAACAACACACAAACAAATACATGCTCACTCATGTAGATAGAAGTGAAGACCGTGGCCTCACCTGAGTGACAAAGTTGCTCTGGAGCCCTGCCGCCCCGTGGTACTCCCATCCCCGGGTGCAGGCCACTCTCTCTCGGGGTGCATTGTCGGACAGGTCGCTAGAGTTCGGAGGGTATTTGTAGAGCTCGCAGTGGCTCAGGCGTCCCGTGTCCTCCTGGTACGGAATGGTCAGGTTGAGATAGCCCTGTTTGGAGAAGTTACTGAGCAGAAAGGCAGAGGGCAGCAGCTGTGGGTCCGCGCTGCAGTGGTACTCCTCCGGGATAAGCGTAAAGAACACGTCGCTGAACAAGTTGAGGACCACCGCAAAGCTCGGGAACCAGCTGAAGAACACTACGGTGCGGTTGTAGCGGCCGTACGCCCCGGTTAAAGGGAAAACCTTGCCTTCATAGTCCATCTGTGTGGCTTTTACGCACGGATCAGCCACCCCTCCACTGGCCATGGCACGGTGCGTCCTGAGTGAGGGAGGTGAGGGAAGAGTGAGGGGTGTTGTTATAGATCCATGGGGAAGTCTGGGACAAGATACTACAATCAGCCCCCGGAGGAAGAGGAGGGATAGACGGGGAGGGGGGAGGAGTCACACCTGCAGCCGGGTCCAAGTGACGGCGTGATGCGGGGAAAACCTCCAGGGGCCCCGCGGAGAGAAGCTCGTGTTTCCACTGTGTCAAAGCCATATTTTTAGATCTGGGGGTATGTGGTGTATGTGGCAAGAGGAACTTTCGCAATGAACTTCACGCACTTTTGTATATATATGTATATTATTTTACAGGATGGAATTGTTAAAGGTCCAATATTAAGACAGGGCATCACATTACACTTGGACTTAGGGCCCTGACCAATCAGCCTTGCAACCGATTCATAGCACTCACATTTTTCGTTTCTCTACTATTTGGTGGTGTATAACTGGATATATTGTGTTTTTAAATTCTACTGCATGATATAACATTGTATCGCGTGGTGGGGGTTGAAATCATAAGCTTTTATCCAACCCTCTTTCAAACCATGCACTTGTTATATTAATATATGTGAAGACATGTGTGGAGCAAGTTCAAAATAAACTCAAGTGCACTTTGTGAGCAATGACTGCCTCCCTAGTTCTTCAGACACTGTTCAGTCTTTTATGATTCAATGACAACGGACCCAATGTCGCTTCGTTCAGTTGCAAAACATGAAAATGGAATTCACTGCCTCTCAGAATTATGGATTTGTGTGGAATGTTTCCTTGTATGTTGCTAATGGACTACATTGAAATTCATTTTTGAAATATTGTAGTCGGTGTCCAGTGACTGACAATTCAAAGATCTGGATTTTTCATTGGACTATGGGCCGGTGGAACTAACATCCCATCGCAGACCAACAATGCTCTGCTAAACCACAACTCAACCTGTATTGTTCCATTTTTATCATTTTACTTTTTGTTTATTTACAAAGATTGTAGCTTTAGTGGCAAATATCCATCCATTATACTCTGACAAGATGAGAACTAACACAGAATTTACCAACCATCCATCATCATTCTATCTAGCTCAAACACTCAAACTAAACCAGTGAACAAGATAAAACAAAAAATACACTAAACATTTGTGATTAGTTATGGGCCGGATTGGACTGCTTTTTGGGCCTGATTTGGCCCCCAAACCACATGTTGCATAGGCCTGTGACAAACAGGGATTATTGACTAGTCTGTCGTTTTTTTTCAGTTGGTCAAAGTTGAGAGGACAGCATGTGGCGGCAATGACTCAAAGTCACACACAACAGGTTTTACAACACGTATGAACACACAGAACATGACACAGGGTTCCTCAATGTGATATTATGAACCAAGTTATTGAACCCCACTATGAGAAGATGTTATGACAAATACTTTAGGTATTTGCCCCATTTCTCTTTTTCCTTGATATTAATATAAGCCTACTGTTTATTGTAATGTCTTAAAGTTCTAGTCTGTAGGGTGCGTATGTGCCCGCTGATGCATACATGTGCTCCCCCCGTTATAAAAACATGTTACTAGACTTGAGCTGGACTCCCTTCCTCACAGACAAAACATAAACAAACAACATTCAAACTAAGTATTCATTATAATGCAAAAAAGTTCATTATGTTAAAGGATTTTGTGATTTGAGTTACTTTAAATGGTCAAAAGAGTGCAACGAAGCTAGGACTACATTACCCAACATGTTTTAGACCTATAATATATTCAGTTTCTAGTATAATAAACATGGGTAAATCTCTGTCCGTGGAGGAAAACTAAAGGAAATATTTCAGATAATTGTTCACTACTAGCTTCTTTACACATTACACGTTTTGTCCAATTAAAACGTTCCAACAAGATCAAGAGCTGCCTACATAAGACTTAAAATATTCATTCATTTACAATCTAGCCAACATGATTAAAAAGGACAAGTGGTAATATTTCAAAATTTTATTAACGAACATAATCTCTGAGGAACAACAGCAGTTCTCGCGCTCTCTGTACATGCAACTGTAGAAAATAACAATTTAGATTTTTACTTTTCAGTTTGAGTTTTTTCCCCCTGTCCATCCTCATTTTCAGCTCTCTTTATGGATTTTTTTTTCATAGATTTTCATGTCATGTTTTTGCAAGAAATCAACAACAGCTAGAGGTGAAAGTACTGGTTCTCTTACAGCACTGACGATAGCATCAACGACCACCCCCCGAACCCCTTTAGCTGCTCGACAATATGTACACAAATAAACTACATTGTACAAATAAAAAATGTTACATCATCGGTACATCATAATCAGCCTGCACTCAGCTGTTATTAACCCCACATTCTACGCAACTTTTCAGACTAGTACAAAGGAGGGTGCAAAAAACGTCCTGGGAGATTTTATTTACAGAGCTATGTACAGTATGTCTCGTTCACGCAATAACAAGAAGGAAAATTTACACAGCGGAGACCAACTTCAGTTCAAAAACATACCACAGGTGTCAGAAAAAAACAAAGAAAAATAATAAATAGGCTATTTCTCACCATTTTAAAGAGTAGTTTGCCATGCTTTTATCTTCTACAAAAATATAAAGGAAAGAAACGAAAGCAGCTACAGTTTGGGTTGTAATTAGAAGTCAAAGAAAACTCGAGAAAGAAGAAGAAAAAATTAAAAGGCTTGAAATTGTGATTCTATAATGGAAAATTCAAACACAAACAAATCTAAGCTAGTGAATGTAAGAGCGTAGAGGTAATATGTTGCCGACTGTTTCACCATGGCCTAGTGCTGCTCAGCTGTGCATCAGTCTATAGGTTAATAACAAAAAACACAGCCAAAATAAGTTATTTTGTGGAGATTTTTCGAAGGATTGAGATATTGCTATGGGGGGGCAACAATTGGAGCAGCCGTTATCACCATTTCAAGCCTTTGTAGATTCAAATAATGAAGTAAAACCAAAGGCAGGGCATAATCAAACCGTTCCAAATGAAGCAACAACACGTGTAATTGCAATGTCTTGTAAACAATAGTGAGGGCGTGGTCGTTCAGGGCGAATATCGTGAAAGGGTATACATTCTGCTCGATAAGCAAAGTGATCGACATGCCAACGGTGTCTATGCGTTATACAGGAAACAAAAGGAACCCCTTAATTACTAATAAGAATGAACACAAAACACACACGCACAAACTTAAAAAAAAAAAACATCACAAACAGACACCATCCCCAAAAATAGTCAATGAAATTAAAACAAGACAAAAATAAGGGTTAAATTGTACTTGTATAGGTGTGTATGGATGAACCATATCTAGCCACCTCGCCTGCACGGTAACGATAACACCACTGACTAGACGTACCATACACGGCTATGCTCACTGAATGGGAAATATTGAAGTCTGAAAAATCACAAGAGCAGACCGGGAGCCAATTTGGGGGACAGGTAAAAAGAAAAAGATTCATCCACTAAAACAGTTACCACAAACCAACATTGAACTGATCATAAAAACGGATGTATATTCAGCATCACTCTACCCATTGGCTGAGTTTTGAGTTTAAAATGTCCTTTTTGGTACGTACTGAGCAGAGATCCAACAAGTCTGCTTGGGCCTGAACGGGTTATGGTGAACAATAACATGAGGAAGTTACTCACTTTAAAATCAGTGACCAATTTCAAGGTTAAAAAGGTGAAAGAAAATTTTGAGCCAAAGATGAATTAATTTAAACAGGTTGTAAAAAAAAAAAAAAAAAAAAATAATAATAGAAGCCCATTCACGACGAAGGCCACAGGTCTCTGACGCAGGATTTGGCTGAGACAAAAAAGAACGACTGGCGCCATCAAGCGAGTAAAAGTTGAATTACACACAATGAACGGGGCAAACAAATTTCAAAATGGAATGACAATTGTGAAAGCATAAAGAACAAGAATAAGATGAGACCCGTGTCTTGTAAGTTTGAGAATTAGTAACAATAAAAACATGGATCAGACATGACACTTTGTTTGTGAATGACATAACTTTCACCTCACCCATAAATATCTATGACTTTGCCCAACAATGAGTACATTTTTCACTGAAAAAGGCATTTTCTTGGCTCAAAAAATTTCAGATATAGTTGTGTAGTAAAGCAATGAATAATAATCTTCTGTCTATTCTTTAAATAAATCCTCAATAACTATTTTGCTACATTAGAGGGACTATGTGAAGGTTGGCTTGGGTTAGGCCTGTTTATCAGAATACTGTGTGTGGTAGGGATCCCTGGACTGAATCAGACAGGATTAAACTGTGCACTAGAGTCACACACATTTGGCCCATGGATATGAGGGGGAAAGTGCTGCCCAAAGTGAATTGTACATAAAAAGATAATTTTTATTTCTTTTCTGGGTTTTCTTTACACTTAACTGAGTGATATTACAGTACATAGGTTATTTACAACTGTGCAGTAATGTGTGGCAAAATAAATTATCTAGAAGGCAGCAAGAATACATTGGTTAACGAATATAAAAACTGTACATCATTTACGGAATACAACTTTTTTTCTGTTTTCTTTTGTTTTTTTCCATTAAACTAATATTGGCTCTGTAGTGTTTCAAGTCACTTCCTCAGAAACAATGAAATGCCCAAGTAAAGAAATAGACAAAAACAATATTTCTCTTGTCTCACCCAACCACAAACGTCATTAGTCTCTTTGAATTGTAACATTCGTTATGGTTGTATCTTCTGGTTGTCCTGTGGTGTTTTTGCAGTCTATGGCGCTCTGGTGTTTTAGGACAAAGTGAGGAGGTGAGGACACTCCGGTCTGTCCTCAGGTCCAGCCTTGTCCTGGTGAGAGGGTGCGCAGAGGCTTCTCAGTCTGTCTCTGCTGTCTGGACCCTGTCATCAGTCTGTGGCAGCAGCTGCACTGCCTTTTCAGCCGCTTTAAAAAGAATGTGACAACGCTCCTCCAACAGCGCGTCACTCTGCTTCTCCTGGTCCCCGAGGAGCCCTGCTCTTGCTCTGGTGTGGAGCAGCTCCTCTCTGCTGCTCTCTGGTGGCTCTGCTGAATTCAGGACCAGAAACTCACTCAGAATACAGATTTCAGTCCTGTGTCTCTATGAGCTGAGCGTTCGGACCTGGCGTCAAAGCCAACACTGTTTTTGCTTCTTCAACTCTGATTGAAGAAAAGCATAAAAACGTTGAGGATGAAAGTGCAAGTTGTGTTCGGTCTCATTCCCCAGTAAAAACGTAGTTCCTTCTTCATGGAAGGGAATCAAGGGCAAGTTTATAATTTCTTTTCAATATAACTAGTCTTTTCCTGTCTGAAGTCCTTCGTAAACTTGCTAGCCCTTTCCATTCGTTTTATGAAACGAAGTCTCTTTGAGAAGATGATTCAGAATCCGTTTGTGAATCTGAGTGCTGCGTGCTGTCATGCAGGGAGCAGGACAAAGTCGTCATTCACGTCGACCATTGGCACGTAGAAGGACGGCACCTCGTTGACGCACAGAGACTTGTGCACCGCCGGGTCCAGCTCCTGCACCTTGAGCTGCCACTCCATCCTCTGCACTGCGTTCAGCGCTGCTGCTTCATGCTGTTGCCGCATTAATAAACATGTCTGAAAAACAGGACAAAACTATTAACCTATTCCTCAAATTTAACAGACACAGACTAGAGTAGTGGAGAATACTGACCTTCATGCGGTCATATTTGTCATCCACATCCTGGATCCAAGAAATGAACTGCCGAGCATTAAACCGATCCCTCACAGATTTGTTTTCATCTCCCTGTAAAATGCAAATATTGTAACATATATTTAGGTTTGTTTATAATGGTTGTAGCTCAACAATATTCTTAAATATAGTCTGTTCTTTGTCCTACCTGACTCTCTGATGGCATGTTGTAAACTTCTGAGTCCAAAAGCATTGTACAGGCACTGAACGGAACAGCCTGATTGGCTATTGTTCTGGCCGCTCTGCAGTGGACCCTCAGCACTTCCTGCTCACACGACACAATCAGCTTTTCCTGGAAACACAAAGCAAGAAGCATAAACATCTGGATTAAAGATCATAAATAATGCTACTACTAATAACGTAGGGTTTCTTTAATTTGTGGGTAAACAAATCCCTTTGGAATAACACATACCCGCTCTATGCTGTGTTGCAACCTGAGTTTTCCTCTCACAGCCTCCTGTTGTCGGAAAAGTTCTTTCAGAGGTTCCGATAGCGATGGCGGAGGAGCAATCTGGAAAAAAACCATAAGATGTCCAGATAAGTTGCATCTAAACATAACATAGAACATTTGATAAACCCACTTTCACTTACCACAGGAATGTGAAGCTTGCTGAGAGGCTTGCCGTCCAGCAGGTAGGAGCCAGTGTAGGTCACATAATCGGCGTAGCACTGTGGAGCCTGTGGTGTGATGTAACACAAAATTTTCCGCTTTTCCTCAATTTTCTTCCTAATTTGGAGGTACTCAAAATAAGGGTTGGATCGGTCACTATGGTAGGGCTCAATGTCATCCAATTTAATGGCATTGACCACAACGGCCAGTGTCTGCTGGATCATCTCCCTGGTTTGTTTCATGGCTGTATTCACAAGCTGGACCTGCACCTGCTGTGCTGCGGATCTGGCAAACTTTCTCTTTCGCGGGTGCTGCGTTTGAGTGTCCTCGTCTTCCACTGGTATGGGGCGACCTTTTGTGGTTTTACTAAGCACCACTGTTGGAGAGGTGGTTAAAGTCGGGGCAGTGGAGGAGATGCCAAGCACAGAGTCTTTGTCTTTCTTTAGAGAAAAGGAAGACACTGAGGTGGGAGTCAGGGTCCTGGTGGGTAAGTGGTTCATGCTCACAACAGGGTTGGCAATTATGGAGGTGAGAGAGGCTGATGAGGTCAGTATAGTGGAGGTAGGAGGGGCCACAGCAGTGGGATTGTTCTTGGCGCGATTCCGGGTCATTCTCTGAGGGATCTCGTCCTTTTTGGGTACATCTACAGGTGTAGACAATGGGGTGAGACTTACAGATGGCAGCTTAGATGTGGTGTCCTGAGTGCTTGGGAGGTCTATGGGAGTGGGAAGGGTCACAGGCGCTGGGGGTGGTAGAGGAGTGCAGGTAGTCAGTGGCTCGACTATCGGCTCAGACTTCTCTTCATGACTCCCAGGTTTTGTGGCAGACAGTGGGTCTGAATGCAGGTGCAGGGACCCCAGAGGAAGGATATGAACGTGGGGTTGTTGAACAGAGTCCGCTTTTACAGAACTGTACATCATGCTCACGTCCGAGTCCTCAGGAGGACCATACGGCACGCTCTGAGGCTCAGGCTCCAGTGCCAGCTCAGGCTGGAAGGTAGCATGTGGAGAAGGAACCACCAAGTCCTGTGTCGGAGGCTCTTGCAAACCTCGTTCCACTGTGGGACACAGGGTGGAGAGGCCCAGGGGATCCACCTCCATCACATGTGGGTCTTCTCTGTCTGCGACTATGTGTCTGATCTGAGGAGGCACAGACTTGTGTTCGGACAGATCAGCCTCTCGAGCTTCAGCCTCTCGAGCTTCAGCCTCTCGAGCTTCAGCCTCCCGAGCTTCAGCCTCTCGAGCTTCAGCCTCCAGAGCTTCAGCCTCCCGAGCTTCAGCCTCCCGAGCTTCAGCCGCTCGAGCTTCAGCCGCTCGAGCTTCAGCCGCTCGAGCTTCAGCCGCTCGTGCTTCAGCCGCTCGAGCTTCAGCCGCTCGTGCTTCAGCCGCTCGTGCTTCAGCCGCTCGTGCTTCAGCCGCTCGTGCTTCAGCCGCTCGTGCTTCAGCCGCTCGTGCTTCAGCCGCTCGTGCTTCAGCCGCTCGTGCTTCAGCCTCCCGAGCTTCAGCCTCCCGAGCTTCAGCCTCCCGAGCTTCAGCCTCCCGAGCTTCAGCCTCCCGAGCTTCAGCCTCCCGAGCTTCAGCCTCCCGAGCTTCAGCCTCTCTAGCTTCAGCTTCTCTAGCTTCAGCCTCTCTAGCTTCAGCCTCTCTAGCTTCAGCCTCTCTAGCTTCAGCCTCTCTAGCTTCAGCCTCTCTAGCTTCAGCCTCTCTAGCTTCAGGCTCGTCTCCTTTGTCTGGAAGCGGCAGCTCAGGTAGAGAGAAGGGTCCTAAGTCGTCCAGCTCATCAGGGTCAGCAGAGAACGGGTCGGCCCATGGGACGACAGGCTCTGGGGCCATGACGGGCTCTGCGTGTATGTGCTCCTCTGTAGCAGCATAAATGTGACTGGGCTGTCTGGTTTCGGGCTCAACACACACTGGCTCCACTGTGTCCAGCTGGTGCTCCTCCAGACGGGGCTTATTGCAGACCGGGAAGAAGTTCTCCAGACGATTTGAGGACGAGGAGGTGTTTAAATAGTGAACTTCATCGTCCATCCCAGATTCAGGTCTCTCAGGTGATGGGATCTCTGCCACAGCCTCCTTCTGCTCGTCGTAGTCCTGGTCTTCTTTGTGCCACCTGTTCCACGTGTAGGGCGAGCTGACCGCAGGGTGACTAGATATGTGCTGCATCTCATTGTCTGAATGAGAGTGAGAGTAGGGGCTGGTAATTTTGGAAACTGCTGCCTCAATCTCTCCATAATTCCTATGAGGAGATTTTAGGTCCATGTCAGTGTTCCAGCCCATGTTATGATCGTAGCAGCTGTCGTCATGGTCGTCGGTGGGCTGAGCGGGAGAGATGGGCTGCACGTCCGGCTCATGGTGGATGGATGACTCTGCTGGCCATGCCTTCCTCAGAGGGTCCTCCATGTGAGGGGAGTAGGAGCAGGCCTCTCTGAGTGGCACTACTTCATCCAGAGCACAATGGCGAAGGTCTGCTCGTTCATCATCCTCTTCCTCCTCCTCTTCTTCTTCCTCTTCCTCCTGCACCAGGTCAGTAGAGGGCGGGAGGTCCGACAGCACCATGTTTGGCTCGCTGTGGTGTGGCTCTGAGATGTCATCTATGTCTAGAGGAGGCAAAGCGGCAGGGGCAGGCGTGGGAGGTGCCGCGATGTCAAAGCAAGGCTCCTGAGGGTCTGGCCGGTGCACTGGGGTGGAGGGTTTGGGCAAGAAGCTGCTGAACACACTGTCAACAATATGGTCACTGCTCTCCACTCCAACTAGACCAGGCGCCACCACGTCAGGCATGGAGTGCACAGGCTCCCGACAGGGCGACAGCAGCCTGATGGGGGAGAAGTAGGCAGGGGACACACACTCCAGCCGGTCCAAAGAGCCCGTCTTGTCCTCCAGAGACTGCGAGGAGGGCTCATAGTCTACGCCTTCGTCGCTCTGCCGCAGAAACTTGTCGGCTTCAGCTTTGAACTCTTCTTCCAAAGGCCTGCGCACGTCAGAGGTCTGGGAGCGGCTCACGAGGGGCAGCTGCAGGTTCTTAGCAGGAGTTGGACAAGTGCCTTCTGGGAAACTCTGCGGGTTTGAATACCTGCTGTGAAACAACACAAACAAAGATGTATATGAATCAGAAATCAACATTTATTATGAAAGAAAACACAAGATAAGTTTCTGACAATCACAATACTGATCTAATTAGCTTGAAATTTGCCCCACTGTGTGACGAATAAAAATACTATTGAACAAATATGCTGACTTTGCAGCAGGTCATGGTTGTAAACTAGTATAGTCATGGAGATTATTTTTTTATACTTTTTTTTTACAAAGTATATAACACTGGTTGTGTACTAGGGAGGAACAGCCTGAGCAATGGTGGCGTGAATGCACAACAATGATCACATGCATTTATCACTTTAAAGGGCTCAGCAGGTCATCGGGGATTCATAGAGCTGTGGTTTCAATGGGAACTGTTTTAAGGGCACATGCCATTAAAGAATACATTTAACACAAAGACTTTAGTGGCAGTCAGCAGGCTTGTAAATTCAAATTCAAGTAGAAAAAAAGAAAAAACTATGGTCCAGATTGAAGATTATGAATCAACATTCTCTTATAAAAAAGGTTTTAAAGTTGATTTATTCTCAATTCTTATAATCAGTAAGCAAAGTAGGCCTCTCTTACTTTGTTTACCAGACAACCATTAAACCATAAGCTACTGTATATAGAGGACTCGTGGTGTACGATAGTTTAGTCGTATATTTGGTGACTTTTTAAACCTGTTTAATGTTTACAAAGTTACACTAACCTTTCAAAGATGGTTGGTGAGCAGGCATTCATAGACATGGCCATGGCTGATGAGTTGTGGCACTCCAACCCATCCAGCATGATGTCAGGGTAGTCCTCTGCACTACAGGACGGCGTGCGAGGAGTCTGCATGACCTCCTCATAGCTGGGGCAGGAGATGACAGATGTGGGAGTCGGGACCCCAGTGGGACGGTTCTGATCCGGTCGGGGCGAGGCGGGGAGGTTTTCTTTCATTTGATGTCCCGTTAGCCAGTCTTTTGAGTTCTGAGTGTCTGGCTGAAACTTCCTGCCTGGGGACATCATCGGAGCTATCGGTATGCTGCTGACGTCTTTCAGCTTCTTCTCCTTCAGTCCAGACTCCACGCAGTTGGACTTCTTGGTTAGCTCCGTGCGGGTCTTCTTGACTTCCTCTGTGGACTTTGTTTTGTCCTTGAGTTTGATATCTCCCGTTTTGGGCCTGAGCCTCTCCATCTGCTTCATCCTCTCTTTATGCTTCTTGTGTCGCTCCTCTATCTCCTGATCTTTTTGACTCAACATTTGCCCAAAACTTGTCACTTGAAGATCGCCGTCCACCAGCAGTTTTTCCCGCGGCCTGTTGTCTTTACGAGCAGTCACATCTTTAGAGGGCGCCAACTTTTCGTTCTCCTCTTTAGACTTGGACTTACTGTGGTCCAGACGATTGTCTTTCTCCAAAGAATCTCGATTTCTCTCCTTTTTGATCTCATATTTAGGACTATCCTCTTTGGACCTCTCCTTCAGGACAGTGAGCTGTGGGCTATCTTTTAACCCTGCCTTGATCTCCTCTTTGGAGTGCTTAAAAGACCCAAACCCATCAATGTATTTATTTTTCTCCTCCTTAATTTTTTCCTTGTGCTTTTCTTTCTTCTTCTTGTCTTTTATGCGATCATTGATGACAGAGGATTTTTCTTTATCCTTTTTGGACATCTCCTTTTCAAACTCAAGAGTTTTTTCAAAGTCATCCTCACCGTCTCCCTTCCCTCCGCATGGAAACGTGTAGGGGTCAGCCTCCAGCGGCATTGGCTCCTTGTCGAAGGGCAAGCTCTCTCTGCGGCTGTATGACTCCCGGATCTCTTCAGTCTTATCCCGCTTATCTCCTTTGTCCTTTTTGACTTTTTCTTTGTCTTTGTCATGACTCTTTTTGGAAGAAGATGACGAGGAGTGTCTGTGTCTCTCCTTTTCCCTGAACTTGTCTTGAGGCGTAGATATAGATAATGAATCTCTACGCTCATCCAAGACATCGTTCAGCCCTATAGAGTCATAATAACTAGTCAGGATTGGGTCATGACCACGGTCAGTGAAGCTATCTGAGGAGATCTCGCTGTTTTTATCGTTGGAGTCATCCTTGTAGTCATTCATTGCTTCCTCTTCTAGTTTCTCTAATAAGGACTTTTCATTTTCCCCACTGCCTTTTGACATCTTCCTCTCCTTTGAATGCTCGAGCTTGTCCTTGTATTTACTTTTAGTCTTCTCCTCACTTGTGTCCCTTTTGTCCAGTACCTTCTGCTTATTTTTCTTGTCCTGGTTGGAGTCTACTGACGCGCGATCCTTCCTGTCTTTGTGTTTGACATCCACAATATCTTTTTTATCTTTATTATGTTTCTCCAATGAGCCTTTTCTCTCTTTCCCCGTGTCGAATGCACCCTTCTCCTTCTTTTTATGCTCTTTCGCCTTTTCTGTAACATGTTTGCCGTCTGTCGATTTCCTAATCTTATCAGAGGTGAAATGGTCCAACTCTTCGTGATCTGGTGTTGAATCTTTCCTGTCCTGCGCCCCTCCTCCACTGTAGCTATCCTCATCATCATCGCTTTCATCTGTAAATATGTCTGCGATTTTATACCACGTTTTGCTTTTCTCTTGTTTGCGCTCTTCCTTTTTCACCTCTTGGAAGTCTTTTTCTCGCTCTGAATGTTTCTCCTGGGTACCCTTTTCTTTCTTGACCTGCTCGGAGGACATTTTGCGATCTTTGCCGTGTGACTCTTTATGTTTCTCTTTGACCGCCTCCTTTTTATCTTTGAGGACCCGCTCTCCATCTTTTTCCTTCGCCCCTTTCTCTGTGATGTTTTTCTCAGATTTGTCCTTCTCCAAGTCTTTTGTTTTGTGCTTGTCTGCTTTCTTCTCCCGCTTCTCCGCGACGTCACTCTTCTTGTCTTTCTCCTTCCCAGAGTGATTTCTTTCTCGGACGTCGCAAGATTTACTCACAGCATCCAAGTCCTTAAAGAATGCGTCGTTGCTGTAGTCATGGCTCTCCTGTTTGATTTTGACATCTTTCCGGTCCTTCGCGAACTCGTACGAATCTTTGCGTTCCCGGTTGTTCTCCAACGCCTCCTTTTTGACGAAATCTGTAGACTCTTTTCTCTTTTTCTCCTTCTCTGAGTGGCTCGTGTTGAGCTTTTGCTTGTCGGTCCAATCTTTCTTCTTGTCACTGCTCTTCTCTAAGTCTTTATCTTTCTTTTTGGATGTCACTTTTTCCTCGGACCGCTTGTCATTGTGGTCGGACTTCTTCTCCTTAACTTTCCCGTCCTTCCTCCTGCTCTCCTCCTTCACGGTCTCTACAATGAGCTTGACAGAGTTGTTGGCCTTATACTCCTTGTACTCTTTCACAGGAGTGTCCCAGCTGTCGTCGTAGAGCGAGGAGTCGGACGACATCTCGGAGCCCCAGCGGTCGTGGTGGTCATCGGAGGCGCTGAGTTTTGAGTCGTCCGTGTTTAGGAAACGGTTGTTGACGTCATAGCCCTCAAAATCGGGCTCCTCTTTTGTCGTTTTGTCCTTTTTTGATTTGTCGTCTTTGCTGGTTTTCTCCTTGTCCACTTTGAGATGCTTCTCCTCTTTCTGCTCACTTTTCCTTTCGGCTTTGGACGATGACTTCTCCTTCGACTTTTTCTTCTTGTCGTCTTTGTGAGCTTTTTGTTTGTCCTCTTTTGGTTTTTCTTTCTCCTTAACTATTCTTTCCTTTTCAGATTTGATAGTTTTCTCCTCCTTAAGTGACTTTTCCTTGGCAGAGTCCTTGGCTTTCTTGTTTTTCTCCTCTTTTATTGTTCTGTGGACCTCTTTCCCCGTCACCCAGTCTTTATCATCAGACTTGCTTTTTGATAGTCTGTCTTCCTTCTTCGAGTGATCTTTTTCTTGCTTTAATTTGATTTTTCCCTCGGTCGTTGATTCAGAATCTCCCACAGAGTTCTTTCTTGAATCTTCAAAATCAAAAGAGTAGCTTTTCACAAATTTCTCATTCATGTCTTGATTAAGCACAACGCTTTGAGCCTTCTCTTTCTCCTTGGCTTTGTGTTTGTGTTTAGCTTTATGCTTTTTTACAACTTTACCATCCCCGTCCATTTTGGAAGCCGTGCTATCTGCATTTTTGTAGAGGTCGGAATTTTTCTTTTCGACCGCGTTGCTGTGCGAGTTGTTTTTCTTTTTGTTTTCCTGCGCTTTCCTCTTGGGGTGCTTTATCGACTCAACGCTCGAGTCCGCAGAAGAGTAATCCGATTCACTGGATAATCTCGTCCTGACCGAATCGGAGAGAGAACTCACGTCTGACCACGTCGGAGAGGACACCGTTTTCCAGCCGTCCGTCCGCCACTGCTTGGGATGCTGTTCTGCTAACGATTGCGTTTGTTTCTGAGAGGACGAAGTGTTAAAACCCGTGGAGTCTTTCATGGTGGAAGAGTCCTTAATACTGTTCGAGCCCTTGTCGTCCTCGCTCTCTATATCCTCACATTCGGAATCGGAAGTGCAGAATTTGTCATTAACTTTGCCAAATCTTACTTCTTTACTGACATTGTTTTTACTCTCCTTCTTCCTCTTCTTTTTGACTTTGCTCTTGTCTTTTTGCTGTTTTGAGCTCAAAGCAATAGAGTCTCTAGTCTTTGTGTTTGCTTGCTGCGTCTGCCGCGGCGTTGGCGTAGAAGTGAAGCACAACGTCCTGTCGTCCTCATCCGAGCTGTTGCTGTCGGAGATGATCCGTCGGACAGGTTTCTTTGGTGTGAGCGAGTTGCTTTTGGAATAGGTTTTAACTTCCGTTTTGGGTACGGGAAGGAAGCTGTTGGCCTTGGGGACGGGCTCCTTTCGAAAGTCCTTTTTTAACAAGTGTTTGTCGTCAACAGGCGGCACGCGTTCCTCCTCGTCGTCCTCGTCAAATTCGTATTCGTCTTTGACAGGCGTGGTGGCAGATTTAGGAGGGTCTGCGTTTTTGCCTTTCAACTTCAGGCCTTTCTCAAACTCAGAGTCTGTGTTGTTGCCGTCTACAGAGCTGGAGGGGGCGAACGAGGGAGCGTCCTCCTCTTCTTCGGAGGATTCTGTAAAAAAAGAAAAAGATTCAATATAAAGCTGAGTATATTTAATTTAGTGAACGATAAGTCACATTCACTAGACTTGAAGAATGGAATTGTAGTCTGTATCCAAGGCCTCACATGATATTATCTATTAGTTTAGCAGTACAAGATAATATGTACAGTAATTTGTCTAAAAATGGTAACAACAAAACTAACTTTCTGTTCCTAAATATAAATTTATCAAGTACATTGCTTTGTTCTTATGTGTAAATGTACACAGATGTTTTGGTTACCATGTAAATTCATATCCATCTTGTTTACCTAGGTATACCATTGAGTTCATAACCAGAGAATCGCAACAGGTAAAAATATGAATAATTATGGACATTCATAATCATTTGATCATAAACATTTAAATGGCATCATCCTGTTACTCTCTGGACCAATGACTCATATGTGTTTTTGATTTAGGGCTAAACAAAAATACGACTGTTTTGAAATGTGTCCACAAATGCAAATCTACATACATAAAAAAAAAAATGTATTGAAGAGGCTGCGATTACATGATCTAAACTGTCCTGATATTAAAGTAGATCTTTTGCAAAAAACAGACAAGATTGTGATAAGATGCATACCAGATGAACTTTCTTCACTCGACGTGTAAGTGCCTTTGCCCAGCAACAGGTTCAACATGGTCGGAGAGTTTGCCACCTTGAGCGGAGTTTCCCCTCTTCGGTTGCTCTGCCGGGGGTCCGCTCCATACCGTAAAAGTAGCTTCACCACCTAAACATAACAATGGGTGCTTACATTAGTGCACTGAGAACATTCTATACTGTAGCAAAAAAAAAAAAAAAGTACCTTGAAATGTCCGTTATTGGAGGCATCGTGTAGCGGCGTGTCATCGTCCAGTCCCTTGGTGTTGACCTCTGCCCCCGCTGCCAGCAGCTGTTTGGCCACGTCGTAGTAGCCTCGGTTACACGCCTCATGCAATGCAGTCCAGCCTGTGCACAGGAGCAGGAGCATGTTAGAGTAGTCCTGGTGTTATTTCACATATGGAGAAAATGGAAGCAGTTTCTCACCTGCAAAGTCTTTTACATTCACATCAGCTCCTTCACTGATGAGCTCCTTGATGCGCCGCGCCTCCCCTCGTATCGCTGCTCGGTGCAACCGCGTCTCTCCTCTCTCATTTCGTTTATTCACTTTGTCTTTGGTTTTAGAAGCAGAGTTTGGCGTTCCCTTTTGACCCATACTGGACTGTGACTGATGCTTTGGTGTCGAGTCTAAAAAACACAAAGCACATGATCCTTAGTTCCCCTTTGATCTGGTTTAAGGCATCAGTTTTGCCACTAATTGTAGCAATAGGTTTCAGACACATGAGGGCACTATAACACCATCACGCTTCAGGTAAATCCTTCAGATCACGTAATCTAATTTATAAGATTAAGCACTAATCTTCATTGTCGGATTAGAGCTATTGTCTAAAATAATATTTATCATCATGCACTTGTATTTGTAATACTTATACATAGGTAATGGCCTTAATGTAAAAGTAATCAAAAAACACTATTACCAATAAACATAAAAGTTGCAATTAAGTTAACAACGGGCCATTTAAACTAGATGACTATGTAATGAAATTGAGTGTAACTGTAAATGTTATTACAAATAACTGTTTGCAATCATGAACACACTAAGAAACATTCATTAAAAGTTTTAATAGCTTTATTCACTGAATCGAGTGGTTTTGAATGGGTCGTTTTAACACAACAGCTCTCTCTCATGGCCCCATCCTCTGAAGACGTGGCTGGATTGATAAGCACGCACCTGGGCTGTTGACGGACGGCTCTGCTGTCATTTGCATGAGCAGAGCCACCTGCTGCCGCTCGGAGAGGGGGTACCCGACCCGGATCCCTGGCATCCCCATTCCAAACGGCAGACCCGTCTTCCGGGTGCTGGGCTCCTTTTTAATGCGCTTCCGCTCAGGACCTGGTTTCTCTGTGAAGACACAAGATGCACACAGTTACAACACTTTAGTCTGGGACGTATATTGTGTTTATGTCTACCGTCATTCTTTTCCCCCTAAATAGGGCAGTATTTATTGTATTAGATTAACAGATTTCAAAAGATCAGCAGAGGAGGTGCACACGTCCTCATTAGGGCCAGTCTGTGCAGTTAAGGGGAAGAAGGTGTGACTTGGCAGCGCAGCAGTTATTGCGAAACAGTTGGTGTACATTTCATTTCAACATGGCCTCACCAAGGTCACCACATGCTTGACTGGCAGGCTGCATGGAGACATGGGGCTACTGGACAAAAGCAGCTGCTCCACAAGGACACACCCAGCAATTATTTTCAGTGGCAAAATACCATGTGATGACCCTCTGAGGGCAAAGCTACACAAGTGTGCAATACCAGCCGAGCAGACTGCAGAGGGGAGCGGGATGAGAGCCACCAGCTCAAGGCCAGAGGCACAGTGAATACAGTGAGACAGAAAGATGGCGGAAAGAGCTTCCGGTGGGTAAAAGTTTTCCAGGAAAAGATTTTTCCAGACCCAAGTAGAACTGATGAACTTTGAGTAACATCTGTGAGTACTTACAGATAATGTCCCCCCCACCCCTCTTTGATACTTCTCACGTTCTGCACTGCCTTTGCCATTTAGACACATTCCTGCTGCTAAAACTTTAACAGCAGGAACCACAGAAAGAGTCCAAACATGTTTTTGAACCCCAGAAGAGAGAAAGTGCTACGCCAGCTCCTCTGGTGTGTTTACAATATAACAGACCAAATACTTTCATTTCTCTAATGATTGCACTAAGAGGGGAGCCGTGTCTAACTTGCACACAAGGCACAGACCACAAAGGGGAAGACTGAGCACTGGCTAATTTCATTGAGGGCTAGAGGTCAACCTCATTTTAAGACAAATTCAAAGTATAATTAACGTATGAGCAAATATTTCACTATGAGAAATGTTTCAGAGGAAAATAACGATTGTAGTCTATAATATTGGTGCACATTTAAGATTTAAAAAAAAAAAAAATCTTTTGAAGCACCGCTCTTTCAGCCAGTCATCTAGCTCCTTTGTGTCGCAGTAAAATGATATTACTTAGCTTACAGACAGGACTGAAACCGTACTCGTCTTAATGCTTCAACCACGACAAATAAAGTTGAAATAAAGATATTTGAGCTAGCCAGGAATAGGCCCTTTATGAAAAGACTGATGGGAGTGGTCACATCAAACATGAGCGGCAACATCCAATACAAGTATCGTTTAAAATGGCACAATGAGTATACTGCACGGTTAGCCAGCTTCAATACAAAGAGTCTGGTTCAGTTGCCAAAAGCCTGACAAGAAGAACCACCCAAACCAGCCTGTCCAGGTAAGCAGCAGATCAGACTGATATTGTGTTTCGTTGAAGAGCGTAAACAGGAAGCTGAGGCTGAAGACACAGGAAGTGGCTAACAGGATGTTCGCTCACAGGCGGCATGAAGAAGAGTAGTGGCTGTGATTCTGTGGAACTGTATCGAGGGCCAGGACAAGTGGGTCGGAGAGAAAGCTCTGGCTGATAATGCCTTGTTCTGTGTTTTTATTAGCATTAAGGAAATTGAAATGCACAAGTTGGAAGTTAGGACGGATCAGAGTGAGTGAATAACTGAAAACCCACCACATACACACACACTTGGAAGAGTGGGAATGGTCGTGTGACTAAACTTTTTCTATTGGACAAATGTTGAAGCATGAAGCAATGTGGGGACTACATTCTCACTTGCAATCACATTTTATTTGATCTTGTCTGAAAGTCTCATGAATGATAACTTTATTAACTTTCACTAACTGCTAAAATGAACAGATGTATATATGCAACTATATATTTCTTGCACAAGAATATACAGTTTATTTCTTATCATGCTAAAGCTAGATTCTTTTAGATGTATTTTAGAATAGAGTTATTGTCCATTTATCATGTGATGTGTGCTTCTCATTCTTAATAACACATGATAAAACACTCACGACTAAAGAATCTCTTCATATTATTGAGTGTTAAGCCTTATAGAACGAACACTATCAAAATAATGTATAGTGTAATATTTACCACAACTAACAATTTATTAAATCACATTGATTATAAATGCAATTTGTATGTTTGCAGTAGAAGATGGTGTGACTTAGACTGAACAGAGACAGTATCACACAAATTAACTCGGAACAAATGTAAAGGAGGACTTCAGGAAGATCTGTGTCTTCCCAGGTATTGACCAAAGGAGGTGTTTTATAATTGTTCTATTGTATTTTAGTGGCGTGTTTCTCTTATGGAAGAATACCGATTATGGGAATTAGTGTCCTATTTGTGTGATAAAAAAAACCTATTTAGTGGGTAATGTTAAAGCAAACTTTCTCAATTAGATACCTGAATCCATTCCTAAGTACATTCACCTCAAGGCATTTTACAATACAATACAATACAATCTTAAGATAGAACTGTTCATTTAACCAACGCACAAGTGTTGCATTATGTAAGAATTAGTTTGATAAGCATCAAAGTATCATAGTAACGTAGTATCACCATGTTGTAATTTAACCTACAAAGCTGGCAAATACAGTGAGTGAGCCGCAGAAAATAGCTGTCTGCGTTATTAACATATTAATGATGGTCTTCCCATTGTTGCTGACAAGAAAAATCACACCTCCACTGGAGCAGGGGGATGGGGCTGACCACATGGTTGGAAGCATACAACCGTAAACATACTCTATACAGCAAAACAAAAAACAAACAATATATATATATATATATATATATATATATATATATATATATATATATATATATATATATATATATATATATATATATTGCACTATGCTTTAAACAAACAACCATCACAGCAGATCAAAAAACAAGTCCTTCTGAAAAAATGAACGTTACATACTGGGCCTACAAGTCTCACTACAAAACTAACATGCGTTTCTTCAGATACATTAAAATTGTGGCCAATACACAGAAGAGTCCATGTTTCCCTTTTGGCAAGGTTGACTTTGCAATGTAAACAAAAATCCATAAAGAATATCCATGTTGCTAATACTGAAGAGTGAAGACTATCCCCAGCTCAACTTCTTTCAGCAGCTTGCCCATCAAGATTGTATGAAAAACATTTTCTTACCTAATCCAGGCCCCGTCAGCCCCATCTCTTAAATCCAGTTTAATTCTACTCATAAAGACCTCTTTCTCGGGGTCTGCCATTTGAGCCACACAATCCTCACACAAACAGTGAGCCTGAAGCCGTGCTAAGGCAGTTAGCTTCTCAGAGCTCCGCCCCCATTTAGGCACAATGCATCAGCTACTTCCTGTTGCACTCTCAGCTGCAGGGCAGCAATCCCCCACATCCAAAACACCACTTTAACATGAAGTCATACCTGAATCTGAATCTTTCTGGTCTCCATTTGCTCCTGTTGTGAAAGGTAACTTCCTTTTAGAGGCTTTTTCTTTCATCTCTTTGACCACATCGCTGCGATCCAATTTGGGCGTCTTGTTTGACAACACTTTATCCTGCAAAAGAAACAAATGCAGCGTTAAAAGGAAGTGTAATTAATGAAGAATGCATTGCTGAAACATAACCAGAGCCAAAAATGATTTGCTCATTATCATGTGACCACCTCCTGCGCTCGAGGCTGCGTTTTTAAAAGTGCTTTTGTTATTATGGCTTTTGCGGAGGAAACTTTTCCACACAGTCGGTCCTGGATTCCTGACGCCGCTTTGACGCTGAGGTCTACAGCTGCTGGAAACAATCACCAGCCTCAGAAACAACAGATGTGAAAACCCTCTGTTCAGGCCAACGCTTCGAAAGACTTACTCAACAACTGTATATTATGTAACGTGTCTGCAGAGGCGAGATGACTGTTTAACATTACTTCACTTATTGTATATATTTTTTGTTAATTTTTTCACATTCTAGACATCATACACCAAGCTGCAAACAAAGTATTTATGAATGTCAATTTTTCATTATATAAAACGGTGAATATATATAGCTTCCCTGAACATAATGTTTGCTGTTACAATAAAGAAAACGTTGTTTTCTTGTGACAGGGCAACTTAATGGTTACATACTGTACTGTTTAAGTAGTAAGTCATCTTTATTTATACAGCGCATTTATACTGACCAAGATCACCCAAATGCTTTACAATGTTCAGAGTTTATAATGAATAGGGGTTAGGGATGAATAGATATCACTCTTTTCAAAACCAATACGAGTACCTTAATTTGAGTGGTTGCCGATACCAAATACCGATACGAATACTGCATTGTGCTATCCTGGGGATTAAAAAATCTAACAAAACTTAAATTTAAATATTTTATTTCTCATTTCAAGTATAAGAAAATGCTTTAACAATGAAAAATTTTAGCAATCGTTTTAACAGTCAAAAATAAGAGCCAATGTCACATTCCACTCATACAAATGCTATGTTGGTTGTTTTTGAGCTCTGGTGCTAGCAAAGGTGCTGTATTCCGTGTGGCAGTGAGTTTTCAGATGTTTGATCAAGTTTCTGGTCTAATACGTGTTTGTTTTGGACCCACCTCGTGACAGTTTTGCCGTACACAATGTACAGTCCACTTTGCTCACTCGTTTACTTTAAAGATCTGCCATACAGTCCACATCTGCTTGCTAGCTAAGCTTGTAGAAAATGCTTTCTCGCTGCAGACTTTGGGAGATCACCATGGCAACACGTGCCACACAGTTGTCTGCTGTCGTGACCCTAATGTAAAACAAAAATGTGGGTATGGGTACGAGTACGAGTACAAGACTATGGTATCGACCCAATACCTGTCAGTATCGGTGCACGCCTAAAATTGGGGGTTTTACAATATTTTTTTACTCAGATTTGTAGTTGTAATTCTATGAATTCAACATAATATATACATACATAATACTATTAAACACTACTGTATTACCTAGAGGTGGGGTAAATGTCCGATATTCAGATTAATCACGATTCGGCCACAGAAGAATCGAGAACAATCATCCAAATTCTGATTATTTAAAAAGGCACTGTAAAGCGGAACCAAAATGCAGTAAGCGCGGTCTGCAAAATGCTACTGGGAACGGCCTGAGAGCGCGCATCCACAGCACACTCCTCCAGAAAAAAAAAAAACCAACAAGCATGGCTGAGCTAACCAACCCACCCTGCCGTGATCTACGACCTGCTCTGGTCGTCTCGTACGCCACACCTTTCATACCCATGCTCTCTCTGAGCGCTCCTGTGTTCGCCCGCACACAAACACACACGTAACCCACTAGGCTGCAGCACATTTGAGAAAGACATATCTCACACTCAATTGATTGCAAAGAACGCAATACATCCTATGACTGGCTGGCGCACAGTAGCAGAGTATAAACCGGAAGATAAACTGAAACTGAACACGGACCTCGGGTGGTCGCCGAAGTACGCCCTTCTGACCGTATTATTTATAACTAAAATATAAAACACTAAAAGCAGCAAAAATCACCTTGAGCGGTACACTCAAGTTCAAATGTTCGTGCATTTCCATTCCAATTGGTATTTTCAAAAAGATAATAAAATATTATGGAAATGAATGTAACTACAAATAGTGCATCATTATATTAAAAATGCATCAATAATTGTTTATTAATCAAACCACAACCTCTGGATCGTTAGGTGCCCCAAGATTCCCACTTATAGTATTACCTCAAATTATTATCATAACCCTCCATTATTCCTACACGGAATACAAGGTGTTTTTATTAGGGTATTGGGTCGATACTATATGCTTGAACTCGTACTTACACCATAGGACCCGATGAGGACAACCGATACTCACATTTTTTAAATTGACATTAGCGTTACGACAGCAGACAGTGAGAAAGCACTTTACGGCAAGCGGACAGGATGTCGGCCGTTTGGCAGTGTTTTAAAGTAATCAAGAGTGACAAGAGGAAAGCAGAGTGTACGTTGTGTAAGGCAAAACTGTCACAAGGTGGGTCCAAAACAAACACGCATAACACCAACAACTTGATCAAACATCTGAAAACTCCACCATGCGGAGTATAACACCTTTGCTAGCACCGGAGCTATTTCTCTGTACCATTTGTATGAATAGAATATGACAGTGGCTCGTATTGTTTACTGTTCAAACAATTGCTAAAATGTTTAATTGTTAAAGCATTTTCTTATTGTTGAATTGAGAAATAAAACATTTTAAAATTCAGATGTTTATGAATTCCCAGGGATAACTCATTACAGTACTGTAATCAATATTCGGTATCAGCAAGTACTTAAATGTAGGTACTCGTACGATTACTTTATCGGTGCATCTCTAGTTTTTATTATGAACATATTAAAGCCTGTTTTGGGCAAACCAGCTATGAGATGAAAATTGATCACATGACATGCATGTTTAAAGAAATTTGGCAAAATTTGTTGTATTGTTAGTGTTTTTGGCCAGGGAAACTCATGGCATTGTCAGTAGTTACCACAGAGCTAGATAGCATTCATATTAATATTTGTATTGAAACTAAATGAATAAAAATAAATGAGTTTTACTTATTGGACCAGATAGGGAAGACTAGATAGAACTTTGCAGCTCTGTAGTAAGCTACACTAAACAGTACTAACTCACATGGACAACTTTGAACAAACACTATGGCAATTATCATAACCCCAAAATGCATGGCCCAAAAGTTAGCACTTGTAGCTTTGATTTACTTATAATCTACTCTTGCATAAGTGGCAAATGTTAAACCAGAAATAGCTTTGGTCACCTTTTTACAGTTTGCAGCATTAACACATGGAGTAGATGCAGAATGGAAAATGAAAAGAAAAAATGGTTTGACAGCATGTTCCCTTGTCAAAGCCCAGGTAGGGAATAATATCACTTGTATGGCTGCGTGTGTCTTGTGACCTCTTCCTCTCGTCTGTGTCCTGCCGCGGGGTAGCTGCTACTCTATTATGTGTGGCCTCAGTGAACTCCTCCCCCTGCCCTGCCCCAGTCATAAGACCATGATGTCATCCTACAGTAGACAAACACTGCCAGCTCCACTTCTGTCTTCCTGTTTGTAAAACTCAGCTTGGCTTCACTCTGCTAATTAAACTGTTTATCATTGAAGAGGCATGCAGCACATGTGAACCAGCCAAAACTCATGCTGTAACATGTATTTAAACAGGGATAAGTTACATGATTTGAATTGATAGAAAGCTATCACACTCTGCATGCATAGAGCTGTCAGTCCGATGGTCTCCTAGTAATGCCTGCTCTTTTCGGCTCCCTCGGTTTTCCGCCCACTGCTGAGCTCCATTCCCTCCCGCCCTCTGCGTCTGATGCAATCCTGAGCAGAGTGGTGTAAATCCAGGCCGGGATGAAGCCTACCTCGGCGGCCGCTTGAACACTTGGCAAACACGTGACGTCATCAAACAGCGCCAAAGCTACACTTCAGTGTAATCTACAAGACTCTGGAGATTTAAAGGGCACTAGCAGCACACAGACTGTGTTTGATTTATACAATATTACACAAGTGTTAGTTAGATCTAAAACATACTATAGAAAGGGACCTGATAATAATTCTTTCCTGATTTTATCAGTAAATGGATATATTTGATACATGTATCATACTAAATATAAGTACTTTTGTGGTGAAAAATAACCTCTTTGTAAATATTGCCAAATAATTAATTATAAATTGTCATAGTAAAAAGAAATTGTTTCACATTTGTGCAGTATTAATTTAACCTATATTGTATGCATCATTGAATATTGACTGTAAAAGAAGCTAGCATATTTTATATTATGTATAATAAATGATTTATAAAGGGAGTCTTTATAAATCAGTTAGGGGAGTTTCCTAACTGAGGAAAAACCAACCTAAGTTAGTTTATGGCTACATCAGTACATGAAAAGTGTTAAAGTTAGCCATCAGGGTCTTACCTTCTTCCCACCCTGCTTCTCCACCATGTCGGTGCTGAGTGGGAAGTGGTCCAGTTGTGGGGTTTTAGAACCCCCACCTTTGGGCATCGTTCAGCTCTCCCCACGCCAAGCTTCATTCACGCTGCCATTGCATCATCATCAACCGTCTGCAAAGACAAAAGAGGAAGAAGGATGAGATGGAGCTCAGCACCTGGCCAGTTTTCTTTGAAAACACATTACACTGAGCCAGACAATGAGGCTATTAGCGGTACATCAAGCTCCCTATTCTCCCACATTACACACTGGTACAGCTAAAGTCATCACACAGACCCAGTGTACAGTCAGGCTAAACACTTATTAGTGCTTGTTAATCTTTCAGTGAGCAGCAGCAGGCCATATGTTTGGACTTTGCTATCATAACAGAGGTAGTACGCTGCGATATAAGCTGATGACAGGATACACCATGCTGAATATTGCGCAATATTTAGTGTCGTGGAGCATGAGAGCGGGCAGCTAAAGAATGTCTGCAGGAATGTGACTGGCACGCCTCGACAACACATGCTCTCTGCGCCTGTAATAGTGCAGCTTATCAACCTCTGATAATACAGGTCCCACATAAGAGCTGAGCATTTCTATAAACAATCTGGTATGTGCAGACACGGAGCGCTGATGGATGCACTTTGGGTTTCAGTAAACTTAGCTTATGTTCACACTTTTTACCTTTAGAATCACTATACATACAGTACGTAGCACAGAGCAGCATTAAAAAACACATGATCGGTAAGAAATGTTGATAGTATCGAATATGAATATACAAATTATTCATAATTTTATATAATTTTAATGTGAATAGAATTATCCCACAAAAGCACAAATATGATTGGACACGTTGTTTCATATGCCACAAGCATATTTTGCGTGTCTTCATAACTTCTGAGATTGTTTCTTGCAAGAGCTGCTCTGCATCAGTTTCTAAGTATACAACACTTGGCATAATTTTTGTTTATTGCTTAAAGTCGAGTCCAACAGCGGCTGGAACTCCCACAAAAATGTTTACATGGTGATGCTTACAGTTTGCTAGTCCAGTGATCTACATTCAGACCTAAGGATTGCTCCTAGCTCCAGTGTTATTGTCTTTGTCCTCTGTATACAACACTCCATCATAAAGTCAGGCTTCTGCATCAGCGAGCCATGAATAAATCATTCAGTCCTTTCCATAATCTACTTTGCTCTCAGAGTGTTCCATCACCGTGAGACCGACTGAACACACGGGTCTATGGATAAAACATTCATTTGTATTTTTGCTTCTTCTCAACAGTACTGCAATCTTCTCTGGCGCCACTTCCATCTCCCCACGCCCCCTTTCCCTTCTGCAGTTGTCCTATTCAAACCGTGCTATTTATATCCTCCAGTCAAGTCAGTCATGTCAAGACATCCCAGGCAGCCAACCAGAGAAGCAAGTACGACACACAATCATTTCTACTGGTATGTGAAAACATGAGCAGCCTCCACATTTGGCCTGTTTTCTAAATACCTTAAAACCACAGCATACCACCCACCTCCCTCCACACAAAACAAAAAGGCAGGAAAGTCAACCACTCTCAGAAATAAACAATTATTGCAGTAAGAGATTCTCAAATGCTTCAAAGTGGGTCAGCGAGGCCTTGAGAACAATAAGCCTGGCTATTCCAGGACTACTATGACAGGCATAGCGGCAACACCATTCACTAACATGAGGTGTAGTGGGAAATGATGCTACAAAAGCTCACACCGAGAGGAACTAACCAGGGGTCCTTTGTAATTTCAGCTAAATGATGAGATAGCTCATACCAGCTACATGTGAATAGACTCGGGGCTCATCATAGCTGGTTTGGCACCTGTATGCAATGTAGTTTTATATATTCATCACATAATTAAAACAATGAGAGACAAAGAACATAGACTAAAGCAACGGCAACATCATGGGAACGTCTTTTGAAGTTTCGGAAATGAATCAGGGCCATTATTCATTTGTAACTAGAAGAACTTCCATATTCCGGCCTGCCTTACTGTCTCTACAAAGCAGAGGTCTCAGGACATAATAGTGAGAGCAACCGAACTGCAGTCAGGAGACAACTTAAAAAAACAATCAGTTGGAAATTGGTGCACACAATCTAATCTGCAAGGCACGTCAGTCATGGGAAAGGGGACCTCTGCTTCAAATGAAGAACAGGTTCTGCTCCTTTAAAAGTGCTCACAGACAAAATTACAGAGATCCACTTGTAAATTTGAGCCAAGAAAGAGAAACAAAAAGACAGATTCTGATTGTGAACTGTCCTGTTGAATCAGTGACAGAAAAAGGGCATATCTTTATTAAAAAATAGCCACATCAGTATGCATGAACTGCATTCATGATCCACTGAGTAAAGCAGTCAACATTCAGCTGAGAAAGTGAGGTTGAAATGACTTTGAGTCTCTGCTCTTTGAGGCTTTATACAGAATATTGTCTGTTAGATGATTATATACAATAACAGCCAGTGCTGTGCCCAGCTGCCTAAAGTCACGGCGATGAGGATAAAATAACTATTCACATTGTCTGTTCTACTGAAGATCAATATATTCCCAGTCTGAGAGTCACTTTGTGATCATTGGAAAGACTGTAGCACAGGCTAAACAAAAAGGGCACCATCTCTTGTGTAATACAGATGGACTAAAGAGTATTATGCGTGAGAAAGATGAACTAGTACAGCTCAAAGTAAAAGACAAGAGCGCAGTCTCATCTACTGCCTCTATTTAAACCCACTGTTCAGATCTGTTGCTGTAGTTATTACCAGAAGTCATTCCTTGAATCCTCTGCGGTCAAACTGAGGCCAGCCCCTCAGCTCACTGCTGCTCTCCACTATTCACTTGTATCTATACACACCCAACATTCTGCAGTATAACTGTACAATGTCAAGTCAATTACTACAGTTCATATGCATTCTCTGTAAGACCAGAGATTGTCTGATAGTGTGTGACTATTGGGTCTTCCACCAAAATTTTTATGAACTGACTAATTGGAAGAAAGCAGACAGGAGTCAGTATAGAGTATATCTTAATAAAGATTTGAATTAATTCAGCCTTTTTGCATGTGTTTTTCTAGCCTGGTCTTAGCCATCCATACACTCCGCTCAATCATCATTTCACTGCATGTAACGTCTGGCTGGGTCTGGTCCCTGGGTTAGTGATTACAATCGCTTGAATTTCAACCGACCAATCAGCGAGCGCGGAAGGCGGGTGTTGTAGTTAGTTGTGGGTGACGTCAAGAGTTTGCGTCGAACGGGAAGGTTGTAGTTTGGCTATGGCAAAAAATGCGATAGTAAAGAATTCCGGTCTGGTTCTATCGAGAAATTGAAGCCAGAGCAAGAGGACTGTTTAGCCAATGTAATTGCTGGAAAAAATTGTGGCGCTACTACCAGTCGGGGCCGGTCCCGACTCAAAAGTGGCCAAAATGACAAGCGCTGACATGCTTGCAATACCACCCCGGGCCAATGCTAACATATAGCATTGGCAGATCTCTCGAAAACTTCTTTACAGGATGGTCCAAAAGTTGGCTCTTGGCCCAAAGCTCCGTTCTACATGTGTGTCAATGCTGAGGGGGGTGAATTTCTTTGGACCACTCTAGTTTAGTCGCTGTGAATTTTTGAAGTCTCTCGTTCAAATGAATGGAGCTTGCGCCGGCTGACGCATGCGCAGATGCGTTTTTTCACAATTTTCTCGTGGGCGGGTCCACTCGCGGCCATTTTGGATAGCTCCAGTAGAGCCGTAAAACGGCGGAGATAGACGTGACAGTGGAGATGATTGTGGACTTCAGGAAGAGCACTGTCCCCCCGCCCCCACCCTCCGTGATGGACTCCCCCATCACCTCTGTGGAGTCCTTCCGTTTCCTGGGCACCACCATCACCCAGGACCTCAAGTGGGAGCTGACCATCAGCTCCCTCATCAAGAAGGCCCAGCAGAGGATGTACTTCCTGCGGCAGCTCAGGAAAGCCAAGCTGCCTGCACAGATGTTGGTGCAGTTCTACACGGCCATCATCGAGTCCATCCTCACCTCCTCCATCACTGTGTGGTTCGCTGGAGCCACAGTCAGGGACAAACAGAGACTGCAGCGCATTGTGCGCTCTGCAGAGGAAGTGATCGGCCGCAGCCTTCCATCGCTGCAGGACCTGTACGTCGCCCGAGCTCGAGGTCGGGCTGGTCATATCACAGCCGACCCCTCTCACCCTGCACATGGACTATTCCAACCACTCCCCTCAGGCAGGAGGCTGCGGTCCATCAGGACTAGAACCTCCCGCCACAAGAACAGCTTCTTCCCCTCTGCTGTTGGACTCTTGAACACTTCTTAACCTGTCCCCCCGCCCTTTATAAAGTCACTTTACTGCCCATCATACGTCACTTTACGTCACTTTACTTCACTGTACTGCTGTCACCTTACATTGTGTGCACCATGTGCACTTGTAAATTGTAAATAGTAACTGTAACTCTATTTTAAATTTAAATGTATTCCTTAGAAGTGTTTTTTATTCTTATTTTTATTATCTCTTTCTGACTGTTGCACGGAGCCAAAGCAATTTCCAAGTCTGTGACTTCTTGTTACTTACGTGGCAATAAAAATGATTCTGATTCTGACTATGTCCGTTAATTTTTACAGTCTATGGCTACTACCCACTAGGCTCGGCTAAATGCTAACGACTCACTCGAGCGCACTACATACGTCACGGTAAACTCAGATCCAATCGTTTCAATCTGCAAAAGGAGTTAACCCCTCTCACCGGTTAACGGAGCTCAATGGAGCGCCTCCAGACCTTAGTACGAAATTTAATTTGTACTTTGGTATGGTATGACCAGGCTAGTACTTTTCTTGTAAGAGTATTTTAGGTCGGACACACCATCGGATCATAAACTTTGGGAGCCTTTGCCATTTCACTAATGTATAGGGCTAAAACGTGAAGATGAAAAAAGAAAATAATTATCTTGTTTATACTCAAACACGGCACACATAAAGTTGCAGGTGTGTGGATAAAGCAGTTGTGCCACTCCCTCCTCTTTGTGGACACAAACACACCTCAGTATTAGAGGCCGACAGCTGA